AAAGATGAGTTATCCAAAAAGAAAGAGATGGTATGACTATGGGTGCACTGATCATGGCCGTGCACATTCGCCGAGCAGAGAGTGACGACCAGGAGGAGAAGCAGTCTCGCATGATGGAGCGATCTTTTTACAGAACGATCTCTTTACAGAGCCATCGCGGGAGCGCACCACTGGCACACCTGCCCCGCACCCCCGCTCTCTACAGGCCAAGCTGGCAAGGACGAAGTACACGTATGACCGAGCATGCCGAGACTTAAGCGATGAGGTGGTTAAGCAAAATATGTCGATGAAGAAGCCATACACTATAAGATTCAGATCACCCACAGGGAGAAAAATTACACTAAATGATATTCTAAAAAATGAAATTATTGATTCGGTGAATGAGGATTTTATTATTCTTAGAAGTGACTCCTCACCCACGTATAACTTCTCAGCGTCTGTGGATGACCATTTGATGAGAATATCTCACGTGATACGTGGGGTGGAGCATATTTCAAATACGTTTAAGTAAGAACGCGCACGCGTGCAGAAGTGTAGGCGCCTATGCGCGGTGGGGGGGTTTGGAGTAGCCACAGCGTTAAGAGGAAGTCCACCTTACATGCCATGCGTGATACCCCTTTACGCGGTTTGATACCACTTCACGCTGGTAGCACACCGCCGCCGCCCCAAGCTGTGTATGGCGCCACGAAAAAAATTACTGCACGCAAATGCATTTTACATTTTACCACTCTGTAGGCAAATTTTGGTGCTGGAGGCCCTGCGCGCGCGCATCCCCCTCTACGCCCACGTCCCCGTCATAACGACCGTGCAGAAGAAGAAAATTAGCAAGCGGAATAATGAGTACCTTGTGCGGAACTTGAGGTAATGCACGTGCTTGTATGCACATATGTAGGCACATTTATAGCGACATATTTATCGGCACATATTTGTATGCCTTTTTCGTGCTTTGCCTCGCACCGACTAGCCATTTTCACAAATTAAAAAAAAAAAAAAAAAATTCTTCTTTACTTCTTCACCCCAGGGAGGAGGGGTTTAAACCCGAGTGCGTAATTAACTACATCGGGACCCTCGGATGGAGCAGCGTTTCCAAGAGGTGAGTATCCGAGGAGGAGGGGTAGATAGCGCGTGGGTACGATTGACAAAGTGCATATTTGTGCGCACATGGGAAGCTGCGTATGCGGCGGGGGGTAGGAGATCATTTACACCGCGCCAAACAGCACCACACCATGTCACATCGCATGCATGCCACTTCCCCTCAGGGAGTTCTACACCCTGGACGAGCTGATCGCCAGCTTCGATCTGCGCGCGCTAAACAAATCTGCACTTGTTTTCGACATAAAGAAGCTCAAATGGATGAACAAAAAGTACTTGTTAGCACAGGAAGTCGAAACGTATGTGCAAGAAGCAGAGCAGTTTTTAATTGAGAAAAAAGTCTTAACGAAAGGATGCACTGAATTTGTACGTTTATGCATTAGGGTGTTTAAAGATGATGTGCATAATTATGAGGAGCTGGGGAGGTACATTATGGAGGCAATTTCATATGACCACTTAGCTCATCCGTTCGACAAAAATGACGATAAGCTGAATAAGGTAGCCACCTTCTTATGTCATTGGTGGGAGGAAAATAGAAGTAGCGTAAATCGCTTTGAAGATTTCTTTTCAGAAAATTTCGATGCGCTGATAGGACTTGTAGCGAAAGATACCAATATGGGAAGGAATGAAATTTTATTAAAAGTTCGTTTTGTCTTAACTTTCCAAAATAGGGGTATCCCATTTGTGCATTTGTTCCAGTTGTGGGAACTGGCCAAAAAAAGCAAAGTGCCAAATTATGTGCCGCTGGAGGACAGGATTCGACACCTTAAGGAGGTATTCACTGGATGAAAGAGTGCGCAGCGTTCATTGCTCTTCTCTGTAATAAGAATTGATTCCCTCAGCATTGTGGGTACCCTCTGGGGGAGTCACCGTCTGGAAGGTATATGTATAGATCACCTTGTAGAAAAGGAGTGGTGTGTACATATCCTTTCCCATTCCTTTGCCGTAATTTTTGTACCTTTTCCGAGCTGCACATGTTAAAGGCGAGATGAATGCTTTGCATGCCATTGCGCGTGGGGAGGTATGTGCCGGGTGTACGCCCATTCGTGGGCTCAGCCCCTTTTCACCAAATTGGGGAGAAAACATATCAGCATGGCAGAATGCACGGCGCTAGGAAGTTTCCCCTTTTTGCGACATTTGAGAAAATATTAGCGTGGTACCATCAGCCACATGTGAACACCTTTGCCAATTTTTTTTTTTTATCACTTTTTCGATGTCTACTCTTTTAAATTTATGTTTTTTTTTTTTTTTCAAAATGGAGACATGTTTAGCTGAGAGTGTTTTTCGCCACACAACGATAAGTTTCCTCCTCTGATTTATTGGCAAAATTTATTTATACATTTGTGCGCACTTTTACGAATTCATTCTGTGCATCCCTTCCTAAACGGTTTATCACTTGGAACTGTGAAGAGGCCGTCCTTTATGCGCGAAACGTGTGCAGGAATATTTCTTCCTTCGTTTGCTCTCCAACTGTGTGAATGCGCGTTTGTGTGGAACATTGAAAGGAGCTCCTCCCTCGTTCCCTTACGTTTTGTTCTGCTTTCACTTTTGTTTGTCTTTCCCATGTGGCAATCAACTTCCCTCTTTTCGGTTAAGCTGCACTTTTGCCAATAATTCATTGCGGCTTTTCGGATTTGCATAATTTTTCCCAAATCGTCTCTTCCATCGCTGCAGCGTTGCTAGCCTTTGTCACCATTGCTGCTCCGTGGCCCCATCGCTCTGTCGAAGCCCAAAATGGAAGCGGGGCAGGTGAAGAAATACTCTTCCAAGTTCGACATAAAGGGGATTTGCATGACCAGCGAGAACTGCGAAAAAGTGTGCAGGATCTGCCTGAAGGCAATTCGGGAAAACAAGCTGGAGAAAGACATAGCTAGCCAAATAAAAAGCAAGTGCGAAAATGACGAATTGTTAAATAAAGAAAGTTCAGATGACCACATGAAGTATCTCCGCATGGTAGACAGTTTAAAAAATGAGAACATTGGATCTTGGCAGTGCATCGTCGGGAAGAACTTTGCCTTTTCTATAAACTACCAGTTTAACTGCATGCTGTACTTCCAGCACAAAATTACTAAATTGGCCATTTTGGTTTACAAGTCGGTGTGATCGCCGTTACCGCTGTTAGGGTTGTTAGGGGGGTTAGGGTTGTTAGCGAGGTTAGGGTTGTTAGCGAGGTTAGGGTTGTTAGCGGGGTTAGGGTTGTTAGCGGGGTTAGGGTTATTAGCAGCCTATTTGTACGCGTATCAATACGTCAATGCAGATGTTTACACCGTTGAACGTGGATCTGCCTTTTTTTATGTTTCATTCAGCATGCTCATTCGGGCGTATGCACTATTGTAGAGCAAAACGCGTTGGCGTTTCTCCTCAAGGACGGAGAAGTCGACTTTACTCCCCTCCCTCACACCTGCACTCCATTTTGCGTTTGCAACTTTTATTTTCGCGTTATTCTCGCCTGGGTACACCCGGCTGAAGGACCCTCGACACTCGCGCGCACGAAATGCATACGATTGCAGAACTTTGTGTGTGCTTACGTAACGCTGCGTATTCCTTGCGTAACCCTGGGTTTGCTCACGCCATTGCCCTTCTGCCAAATTATTAGCACATTTAACCAGATACACCCAGGCGCTAACCATGCAATAACCGTCTGCTAACCACGTGCTAACCACGGGCACTCACCACATCCAGTCGCAGTGAGCCAATGGGGAAAGGAAATCAAGCTTGGGCCTTTGGTGCACATTCGGGAGGAAAAATTGCGAAGCGAGATTTGGGTGACAATGTGAAGTGCATTTTCCTTCTTTTTCTTAAAACGCAATGGGGCTATGAGAGCCAACAACGGGGGGGGGGGCCAGAAGTGAAGGCAAAAAAGAGCTGGCAGCGCTAGTTAGCCGAGCGGTTAGCACTCTGATCAGCAGAATGAAGCAGAGCTCAGCGACCAGTGCGCACATCAAAAGTAAAATGTACGAAGAAAAGCGTCAAACGAGGCGAACCCGTTTTTTCTTTCTCGCGCTGATTTTTTTTAAAACGCTTAACGATGTATATAAATTAACATTGTTCCAGTGCTGAAGGGACAACTTTCTCGATGTGTGAATAGCTGCTGTCGATCGCGGCTCCACTTGGCATCGTTTTTAATCAGAACTGCTGTAGGGTTGCTCGCAGTTGGGCACGGATTCACTAGAGCCCTTTTAGTGTAATTGCCAGATCGTTAAACGGGGGGGGGCAAAAGTACGTACACAGGGATGATGTGTATACGCGCTTGTTTACACCTGAGTTACCCAAAGGGGTAGTAGCCAAACTAGTAGTAGCCAAACGAGTAGTAGCCAAACTAGTAGTAGCCAAACGAGTAGTAGCCAAACGAGTAGTAGCCAAACGAGTAGTAGCCAAACAAGTAGTAGCCAAACGGGTCGTACCCAAATAGCTGTGCCTCTGCATGTTTGTATGCACATAAGGGTTCGAATGCATGCAATGGCGCCCCGGTCGCCGCACCCTTTTAGCGCCTTTTTGACGCTTTACCGCTTCACGCATCGTGTGCTGCGATTGTTCACTCAGCCCTCTGGCGCACTTAAATGTTGACCATTCTTTTAAAAATGTGGACATGGCGGAATAGTGCTATTCGCGGGTGAACAGTCAGGCTTGCTATTACTTTATTTTATTGTACTTCATTTTACTTTATTTTTTTCCCGCCCACCAGTTGTCCTTCGTTTGATAAAAATACATTTTTAATTATCCTTACATGCTCCTTTTAGCTGCCCCTTTAACTGCTTCACCAAAATTCCACCCGCCATTTAAACGCGGCGAAAACGTTGACCAGTTAAAGTCATCCTTAAGACAATCAAAGAGGCCAAAAAAAGCGAAGTTAAACGGGGACGCCACGTATACTATCAATGCGCACCTTTATTTTTGGCTAGCTAAACATGGCGACGAATCGTGTCAAATTGAAGCGGTTTTACAGCGAGCACAATGAAGACCATATGGATGCATTAAATACCCCCGAGGGAAAAGAAAAAAATGTGGAACGGAAAAAAGAACTGCACAAAAAGGACAAGAACAATTCCAGGAAGAATAAATTACGCGTGCTGTCCAAAGGATTGAGCGTGAAAAACATACATAAATTGGAGGATCATTCACAGGAGGGAAAAGTAACAGTAAGACCGAGGAGTCGCCTGAAAAAGAAAGTAATCACTGACAGTAGCTGCGAGGAGGAACACGGAATAGGACAATCCTTTAACAAACCTCATGTGAGCAATGCAAGCGGTATACAAGAGGAAAATGTAGCTTCTGATCGGTGTGCCTCTTATACAGAGATGAAAGGGTCCTCCACAGGTGAGGAGAATAAATTTAATGAACGTCCCTCGAAAAATCAAACGAGGAGCAGATATGAACAGAGTAAGGTAATCGATACCACGGATGAAAGTAAGCACAGCCACGAGTTAGGCAACTCCGATGATCGAGGGAGAGGTGCAAGAGGGGGGAAGATGTCGAAGAGGGGCATAGAAACTTTTAGCAGCACCAGGGGTGACAAGGACGAAGATGCTGACAGTGGAGACGACACTGACAATGACGAACACGAGGATGATCACCGCGAACGAAATGCGAAAAATAAAACGGGAGGAAGCAGAAGTAGAAGGATGCTGCATAAGGGTGACAGCTCGGAGAGGGATCAGCGCGACGAGAAGTTTGGGTCATCTAATGAGGGCGATGATGATGTCCACGACGATAGCAGCTACGACGAGGTGAAGAAAAAGCGAGACAGGAGAAAGCAAGCCCTGTCGAAACTGAAAAAGAGAAACAAGGATGCTGCTGCGCAGAATGAAGAAGAGTCTTACGATAATTACGACCACTCCAGCTTCTATGTAGATGACGATGTGAACTCAGCTGGGGAGACGAACATATCGTACGAAAGCGGAAACGAAAACCTCAGCCAGTTTGACGAATATGCCTTACACTTAAAAATTTTTAATGAGCAGAATTTGGGCAACGATATGATTCAGTTCAATTCGATAAGTGTGAAGAAATCAATCAGACTGTACATTGAATTTACGACTCTGTCTCTGCTATCGCCTAGCTTAAAATATGACGCCAAGTATTTCAAGGCATCCGAAAATGTGAAAAGCGTGGAACAGTCTCTAAAGGTGAAGTACTCAAATATTCACAAACAATTTGAGAAGAAGAATTCCCTGGGGGAGTGTTACAGTTACTATGATGAGGGTCTTGAAGAAGGCGGAAGGACAAACGAGAAAAAAAGGAAAAAAAAAAAAAAAAAAAATCTAAAAAGGTTATGGGAACAGATTAGCCGTAGTGGTAGCGAAGGGTATGCGGAGGAAATGGAGTGTAGTGAGAACCATGGTGATGAAACGGGCGACGAGAGGAAATCCCTGGACAGCAGCGAGAAGGTTAAACGGGAAAGGAAAACCAAAAAGAAAAAATATGTCCTAAGTGACAGCAGCAGTCGTTCAGTTGATGGGAGGGAGAGCACTGACGCGAGTGGGGAGAAATGCACGCCTAGGGAGGAACATGGCTGCGATGAGGAGTACGATGAAGAATGCGATGAGGTGTACGATGAGGAGTACGATGAGGAGTACGATGAGGAGTGCGATGAGGAGTACGATGAGGAGTGCGATGAGGAGTACGATGAGGAATGCGATGAGGAGTACGATGAGGAATGCGATGAGGAGTACGATGAGGAATGCGATGAGGAGTACGATGAGGAATGCGACGACTACGACTTATACTACGGACGGAAAGCGAAGAAGAAGGTGGCGGAGCAAATGAACGACAGTGTCATGTACAAGCTGCTGAATAGAGACATGCTGAAAATATACGAGTTTGTGAAGAAGGAGGAGAACTTTAGTAATTACGATTTTTTGAAGATGATTTGCAAAATCAGCAAAAACAAACCGAGGAATTATTATGATCGATGTGTGCAAAAAATCGAGAAGAAAATTCTGTCCAAAAGAGACCAGTTTGAATCTCATCCTTTTGAAACAAATTTTAAAAATATTTTAAAAAATTACGCAAATATATTCACATACTATCTGGAGTACAATAAAATTCACTGCTGCTGTTGTAACAGAAAATTAAGTTACTCATGTCCCGTTTTTTTCATTAAACCCTTTTATAATTCCTCCGACTTATGGGAAAATAGCTTTTTTAATTTTATGAAGGTAAATCATTTTGAATGGCTCGGAAATGAGCATTTCCTCACTTTTAAAAATCCGCTGGACAAATTAAATATGAGAAATGAAGATGAATTCAAAATGAAAAATATTAAACAGTCCAATAGGCTATTTATAAAGAATCAGAACGAAAAGGAAAAAAAAAATCTACTCATACACATTAATATAAACCATGTGGATAATCATCCCGTTGCAAAGAACGACGAATGCATCATTAAGTACTTGAATCGGAGTGATGAAGTCAGTGCCTATAAATATCCTCCCAATTTTGATGATAAACGGGGGAAGAAAAAAAGGAAAAGCTTTAAATTTAATTTTGAGCATCAATTTAAGGCCACCGAAGATAAGGAAGATAATGTGAATACTCTGATGAAAGATATTTGCGAAAATTTTTGCGACCTTTCCGAGAATTGTATTGAGAAGGACATCCTGGTTTTGCAGCTTGGGTCGTACTGCGTCTCCGCTGTGTACTATTGGCATGTGTTTCATCACTATAAATTTTTTTTCACCAAATTTATTTACTTGCGTCTGCTCGACTTGTACAAAAAGAGCAAGGATTTGTTTCGCGAGCCGCTGCTCCTAGCCTATGTGCTGTCCAAGCGCCTGAACAAGGACCTGTACCGCGACTTTCTGATTCTCATGAACATCGACATTTCTCAGATTCATCGCAAGATCAACGAGTGCAATTTCTTTGTGCGGTGAGGCGGCCGGGCAGGGACGCTCCACTTGAGAGTGTCCCCGATTGTAGCGGCGATTGCACCTGCGATTGTGCCCGAGATTGTACCCCCGATTGCACATATTGACGGCTGATTATCCGTTTTGGGAGCGTAACTCCGCGGGGGGGAGGGTTGCCTATAAGGATCTCACGCTTGCGTTTTGGCAACCACAAAACAGAAAAGGGATGCTGAAACATACAGGCGCACCCCCCACCCGAGTGCTTTTCATCCACGCTTTGCAGCTCACACCGCAGTATCGTGCGACTTTTCCGAATGGACCTACTTAGCGCGCCCCCATAGCGATGCAGCTCGTCCAGCATAAAAAAAAAAGCGGCTTCTTTAAATTTCCCTCCTGTGCGATTATGCATACAACGTACCTACATCCATGTCTTGATTTTTTTTTTTTTTTCCCCTCCCCGAAAAAAAAAAATTTCATATAGGAAACTTCTTTCAACTTTTCACATTTTGATGGCATTCCGTTCGACTGAAATTTTTCCTTAAAAGTGAAAGGAGACGATTTTGTTTTGAAGTCGGCACGTTTGGAGAAGTGGCCACTTTTTTTTTCTGCGCAGTCTGTAGCTATACACGTAAATGCAAAATATGCACACGTTCTGAATTGCATCGAGGTTGGTGGAAAAAAAAAAAAAAAAACGCCTGCCGAAAAAATTGGAGCATCGGTGGGTTCACAAGAAGGTCGTTTTTTTCGAAGAAAAAGGGGCCATCGAGATATGGTGCTCTCTCTCTTTCCCAGCGGAATGTGCAATTGGAAGCTGCGCCCTGTTCGGCATATACACTCAATATTTTAATGACCACACTGAGGGTTAAGATGCTTTACGCTTAAAAGGAAGCTCACAATTTTACGCAAAGCTGTTTTGCTTGAATGAAAAAATTTACCGATGCAGGAACGGAGAAATTGAAGGAAGGGACGCAAACTCGTAAGGACGCCATTTAAGCGAGGCACAGTGAATATGACACCTGTTCGCTTACTCATTTGTCTTTCCATTACGATAGAAAAGGTGAATGAGGACGGAGGCATGCCCAGATCATTGTAAAGCAAGTGCACAATTTGTACCGCAGCGAGAACACCCCTTGTAGTCTTCTTTTGAACAGAGCGAAGGAGTCGCATACGCAGTAGAGAAAAGGAAGTGTAGCAGTACGCGCTGCAAAGAAGCAGTAACAGGGGTAACAGGCACAAGGGGAAAATTGAGGGCACCCGTGGAGGGGCACTGAGTGAGCGAGAGGTCTAATTTGGGGGCACCCGGTTTGTCCGTGCAGTGGGGGTGGGAAAAAAGGCCGCCCAGGCCATTCTCCACCAGGTGCAGAGGCTGCCAAGTTAGCGGCCAGCTATCCACCGAGTTAGCCGGCTCCTTGGTCGCCGCATAAACCGCTAGTTAAAGGGGAGCCCCCATGGAGACCTTCAACTTCGGCAAGTACAACGGGAAGACGTTCGAGGAGGTTTTCGAGAAGCACAAGTCCTACGTCACATGGGTGAAGAATCTAGAAAACCCCTCGGGGTCGCTAATCCAGTTCAAGGAGTATGTCCTGGAGCGGGAAAAAGGGGAACAGGGGCAGCTTGGCCATCCAGGTCACTTGGGCAGAAAATCCCCTGCGAAGTGGTCGCGCGGCCAGGGGTGGGAAGATGCCACTTCGGATGGACAGCAAGAAAGGGGAGGAGGGGACACCTACCGAAGTAGAAACTCGTTTGATAGAAGTCCCAGTGCAGTGCTCAAAGGGATTGATACTCCCGGAGGAAGTTACAAGAAGGAGGGATACTACGAAGGGCTTAAATCGGTGAACAAAATGAATAGCAGAGAGTACAAGACGTACGAGCGGAACATAATGAATGAAATAAGCAACAGCTATAATAAGAGTGAAAAGGGAGAAAGAGTCGAATTGGACATCATAGTGGCGTTTGAAATTTTCAGTGATGACACATTTAAGATTGTCCAAAAGGATAACAACAGCAATGGGGGTGGTAGAAAATTTCCTAGCTTTAAAAACTTCGTCCCGAAAGAGCTCTTTAAAATACTATCCGAATTTAATCCGACATTAAAGAAAACGAACAACTCTTCCTGCATCACGTTTGAAGCAGATAAGTACGAATACGTCTTGTCCAATTTGAAAGAGAAGTGTACCATCTTGGGAGGCATACAGAGCATCCCCAATTTCCTTCTAAAGTGTTTTAAGCAATACAGCCAATTTTCAGATCCGCAAAAGGTTTCCGAAATGACTGCAAATATTCTGACGAGTACCCTATGTCCATACACGAAAAAAAATTATGACAAAATGGACATGCTTATGGGAGAGAAGCTAAGTGCAGAGTTAAAAAATTTTCAAAGAGAAGGAGTTCATTTTGGTTTAAAAAAAAATGGGAGAGTATTAATAGGCGATGAAATGGGATTAGGAAAAACGTTACAAGCGTTAGCTTTGATGGCATTTTATCAGGAGGACTGGCCATTCATCGTTGTGTGTCCATCGTCCATCCGTTTTCAGTGGAAAGATCAGGCACTACGATGGTTATCTCATCTGTTGTCGGAAGATGAAATCTGTGTTGTGAAGAGTGGAAAAACAAACATCCCGAGGAAATGCAAAATGATCATAATTTCCTACGAATTAATAACAAAAAATGATAAGTATCGGAATGGGTACAAATCCATCGTGTGTGATGAATCCCACTATTTGAAAAACTCCTTTTCAAAGAGGACGAAGGCGATCACCCCCATTATTAGGAGTGCAAAGAGGTGTGTGCTCCTATCCGGTACCCCAGCTTTGAACAAACCATCCGAATTGTACGAACAGGTGGCTAGCATTATTCCTAACCTTTTTAATTACCATGAGTTTTGTGAAAGATATTGCTTTAAGGACAAAAATATATACACGAGGAAGATCGAATACGTTGGATGCAAACACACAGAGGAGTTACACCTATTTCTGACGAACACGATTATGATAAGGAGATTAAAAAAAGACGTTTTGAAGGAACTGCCAGAAAAGCTCAGATCTAAAATTCCAGTGGAAATACCTCCAAAGGAGTTGAGCGAAATTCTTACTTATCACAGAAAATTAGAGTCCAAAAAGAATATCGACATTGCGGACGATTTGAACGATCTGCCACTGTCAAGCGGGGGTAATAATGAGTATGGTTATGGCCAAAGCGGCATTAGTGGCATTCCCAACAGGGATGACGAAGACAATGTCTCCATTTCGCAACTATTCAAAATGACGGGCTATGCAAAAGTGAAAGCCATAAAGGAGTATATCACCTACCTTATCGATGCGGACATCAAGTTTCTTCTCTTCTGTCACCACAAATTAGTGATGGATGAAATTGGCGATTTTCTGACAGAGAAAAAAACCATGTTTATACGAGTAGATGGATTAACCCCCATTGAAAAAAGAGAAGTGTACATTAAGAGCTTCCAAAATGATGACCATGTAAGAGTTGCATTACTGTCATTAACTGCCTGCGGGATAGGGTTAAACCTAACTGCTGCTAATACAGTCGTTTTTGGAGAGTTATACTGGGTACCGGGACAAATAATACAAGCAGAAGATCGAGCACACAGAATTGGTACCACCCATGAAGTTGTCAACATCCATTATTTAATTGCACAAAATACCATTGATGAAATTGTCTGGAAAATTATTAACAGAAAGTGGAACACGCTTACCACGGCCTTGAATGGGATGGAAGACTCACTAAATGTCAAGGAGGTAAATAAGTTCGACAAATTTATGACAGACCTAACCAACGATGCGAATAAGTCCTATCCCAGCTCCTTGGTGACAACCCCTAAAGTTAGGAGGAGGTCATCCGAACATAACAAATCAGTTGAAAGCGCCAGTAGTAACACCAAACGAGATAGGGACATACGCGATTTCTTCAAGTCCAGTGTGAAGTCCGACGAAAAGTCCAATTGTGGCAAAAAGAGGTCGTACGACACTCCAACGAATGATTGCTCTTCGGACAGCACCTCGCCACTTATTGTCAGGAAGCGGTACAAAACGGAGTTGCGCTAGGGGGGAGAGTAGCCGGGACAGCCTTTTACCGGGATAACCTTCTGCCGGGACACCCTTTTGTGCCGCTTTTCGCAGCCACAAATTGGCTGGCCCCTCTAAATACTCCTGTACGTGTAGCAACATCCGCATTCACCTCGCCGAGTTGCACATGGCAGAAGAGCAAAACGTTCCAAAAGTGCCACGTTACGCGCATCTTACATAGGCATCTGTGAAACTATGGAGAAAAAAAAAATCATAACACGCGAATTGAGATGTATAACCATCTTTAACGGAAAAAAAAGGTGTTCTCCAAGAAAGGTGCCCCTTTGTGAATATGAGCAAAGGGCACCTTTCTTTGTTTTTATAAAAGTAGTCTCCTCTTTTTAAAAGTTACGCATTTTATTTTTAAAACACGTGTGTGGGTACTTCTCCCAATAGAGTCATTCAGTTGGCTTGTGCGTGGATAAACATACGCACGATACGCACGATGGCACGAGCTGATGGTGTTGCGTGCCTTTTTTTTTTTTTTTTCCTTTTTTAGTGTAAAATATTACGAAATACCGTTAACCTAACCCTTTTTTTGCGTTATTTTTTTAAAACAACACATACGCATGTAATGTTAAGAAGCGTGGCCAGATTTTTAAACACATACGCATGTCACAATTGCGAGCTTTTTATTTGGGCACTCCCCTCTCTCGCTCCATAAAAACACAAAATAAATGGAGGTCTTCCGCCGCCTCTCCACTTTTGTAAACACTGCAAACAATATGAGCTTCTCATTTCGCTCCCCCCAATTCTGACCTTCATATCGTATAAATACCGTTTGCTATAATGCCAAAGTTTAACTTCTTCCCAAAGGTCAATTTTTTAGCCTACATAAAAAGAATTAAGTTAAAGTACAACCCCTGCGCCGCGTACAATGACAACTGCCGTAGCTTAATTTATCATATTGAAACGCAGCAGAAAAAAGACAAGTTCCCGGATCTGGAATACAAGTTGGAGTTAATTGAGTAATAGGAAGAGGCGAAAAAAAAAGAAGAGAAAAAAACGAATCGGCCGACTACCAAACCGTGGAGTGAAATGCCGAATAACAGCCCATATCACAGCGCTTGTCCCCCTCTACATACTCGTAGCTCTGTGACATCCCTTCATAGTTCACACCTTTTGCTTGAATTTTGTTTTTCCCCTTCTTATCAACGCAGTTATAATGAAGAACCTTTGATAGAAATTGAAATGCAAAATAGCAAAGTTTTCAAGTTAGCTAGCTTTTTTTTTTTTTTTTTTCCCCGGGTGTGCGTTTGGCTAGTCGTTTTTTTTGGCAACTTCTTTGAATTAAAATATGGGTTTTTTTTCTTTTTCGTGTTAAAAGTTGCACTTGACTGATTAGCGATTTGGACAACTTAAGGCTTATTCCTTTGGTGCAATTTATGCCTATCCTTGCCAAAATGTAGACCTCTTCACCATTACGAGTGTAACCAATTGCCCTTCACAACTGCAGGTTTAACCCGGAGAATTACGACTTGGCAGAAATTCAGCGAGTGATTGACGAAGATCAGCAGCAGTGTAAGGAGAGAAAAAGAAAAGTACACACATATATACGGGTGTTATGAAGTGGATGCATACGTGTACCTATGCACATGCTGATATGTATGTGCTCACTTGCCTTTTATGTGTGTCCGTTCCACCTGATAAAAAGGAGCACATAATGAACTAGCGCTTTTTGGGTTATTTTTTTTTCTTCATTTTGTTTTTTCGTTTCTTCCCCCTTCCCATAGTGCACAAGAACTTTATGAAGGTAAACTTGTTGGAGAATAATGAGAATTCCTTTTGAATTAAAAAGGGTGCCTTCCTCACGATTTATAAGAATTGTTCGCCCCCTTGCGTGTGGTCAATTTGGTGTACCATATGCAAAATGACAAGTTTGACAAGCGGGTTACCAAAAGAAGAGCCACCAATGTGTAACATCCACCACGGGCAAGTTGCAACACGGAATAATTTGTTTAATAAAATTGCTCCTACATTTGGGGGAAGCCTTCTGAAGGTGGACGCAATAGGAGTGGGCCCCTCGCATGTGTTGATATGCCCACATGTCAAATAAAGAATTGGGGTATTACAAGAAATTAACGATTGAAGAATAACCTGAAGAGCAATTTAGGGAACGTTTTGAAAAAAGTTGAAGGGCGGTCTCGAATTGAGATGCCCTAAAGAAGAAGCAGTAAAAAAGGCAGAAGTAAAGAAAAAGCAGTAACAAAGAAGCAGCAAAGCAGTAGTAAAGAAAAAGCTGTAACAAAACGAATTCAAAACGAATCAGCAAACGAATCGCAAGTGGACCTTTTACGAAACAAATAATGAGAAGGCGCCATGTCGCTGTACCGTTTAAAAGACAGGCAACTGTCTCGCGAACCATATTTTGATATAGAACGAACTATAATTACGCAAATGTACAATGATATCACGCACTGAGCAGTTTGGTAAAATGGCGCCAACTGTAAGGAATGTGCGTCTACGAGATATTCCCTGCCATTTTATGCTGCGCTTTTGTGGTGATGGGATAATTGATTTACCGCTGACCCGAATTCAAATTTGCGCAGGGCGGGAGGAATTGAAAGGCGCAAAATGGGTGCACCCAAAAAGGCGTATGGCACAGACGCGCTACCGACTGGTGGGCGCTTCACTTCCATGGCAGTGTCACTCCAGCTGTATATTTGTTAAAAACTTGATAAAAAAAATAACGCTTTCAAATAAGAAATTGATATTCGACCAGCTCGCTTGTATTTCTTGCAGCAGCACCTCCGTGGTGTTCCTAAGTTTTTTGTCTTTCATTTTCAGCAGCTTTTTGCCGTGCGCCTGAAAAAAAGAAAAAAAAAGAAAAAAAAAATATTATATACATATATACCTACATATGCTTATCGCCCGGCGAACTGCATCCGCAATGAGCGCATCCATCTTGCTGCCTCTACAGGGGGTCTTTTGCACCAATAAAATATGCGAGCCTCACTTTTAAGAATATGAATATGTATGCTTGAATCAGGTCGATGTTGTCGTTCGTTTTGACATGATAAATGAAGAAGTTCATCATGTTCTCCAGCTAAAAAAGAAAAAGAGGGGGGGATAAAAATGTAAATAGGTGTATATGCCTCCACGTGCAAGTGTACACATTTAAGGACGTGCACAGGTGCGTGCTTTGGATAGGCTGAAACCGCGCAGGGAGAAATTTAACCTCGTCCTTGGAGCTCAAACAGAGGATGTTGAAGTGAACCCCGGATGGGGAGAGTCCCATTAGGTACTTGAAGACGTCTAAATAGGGGGTAAACGGGCAAAGAAAAACGGAAATGAATACAAGTACGCACAAAAGAAGGGGCATAAGAGCATTTCTACGGTGCAAACATCTTTACCGCTGCACAAGGGACTGCGGCCACCCTATGCCGCATTTTTTTTCTTTTTCGCATTTACTGATGTACGAGTCCTCGTTTTGGGCCAGCATTTCCTGCAGCTTAGATATGGGCATTTCAATTTTATCCACCTTGGTGATGTGTCTCTTCTTGTTGTTTTTCGTTTTTCGAGGATTTGCTTTGGTCTTCGCGTGGGGGTCGCCAGGGGTGTTCACCTGGTTAGCCATTTCATCAGCAACTTTGTCTCGGACTTGGTCAGTCACTGTGTTCCCCACTTCGTCAGCAACTTTGTCCCCCACTTCGTCAACCAGTTCGTCCCGTTCTGCAGCCCCCTCCACATCGTCCTCCGCAGCCTCCCCTTCCCCGTCGCTCTCCCCCTTGGTAATATTTTGCAAAAACTCCAGTTCCTTCCCATCTGCGTACTCTATATTTCTGTCCAGCTGGGCGCTCAGGAAAAAGGGGATTTCTTGCTTCTTCTTTACGCTCTCTTGTACCCTGCAATTTTCTTTTATCTTATCCAGGAAGATGATATAGGCAATCTTGGACATGCTAAATCCCGACATGGTAAGTAAATTTTTGTTGATTTGTTTCTCGCTGGATTTGTATGGATCCATTAGCTGCGCCGATTTGAGCGTTCCCCTGTCGTTTGTCTCTAAGTGAAGCTTGCTAGAGGAGTCCCCTTCTGGAGCGACACTTCCATTCAGGTATTCATAATCCACGTCGCAATCCATCCCAATGAGTTTCCCCACGCTTGGTTCGGGGCACTCGCGGTTGCTTTCCCCGTCAGATAACTCCTCCATGAGAACAGCACCAAAGGACCGATAATCATTAACCACGCAATTGCTGTTGTTGAAGAGATTTTTATTAGTAAAGGAGTAAAGATAATTTTCCGCAGCGCTGTGTGCAGTGTAGAGATAAACGTCATTATACACCATGGAGGTTATTTCACTTTTGAAAAGCAAGTAATCGATAAAAGTGTTGGAAATAATTTCGTACAGTAGTAGAGTATTATTCTTTAGAGCGAATAGAATTAATCTGTTGTCTGCACTGAAAGTAGCATTGGTAACTGCATAGGCGAAGTTGAACCTTCTGGTTACAGATTTCTGCTCAATGTCTAGGATGACGGTTTGGTTATTTGAGAGGCACACCACAGTGAGAATGTTAAAATGGTAGAAGGAAGCGATGCTAATTTGATCATTGTTGTTATTGTTTTTAGACGCATCCCTATTTAGGTACTCCTTCCTGATACAGTAGGAGTATATTAACTCACTTGTGTATATGTTCCACACCCTTAGGTAAAGGTCTTCCTTACTGTTTGAGGCGGACACGAAATTGCTTATGCCGTAGCGGTATAGCTTCAGAATATCTCCATTTAGGTGCGCCTTCGATTTGAAAGAGTACTTATTGAGTTTGTACTCATTTCTGTACGTTGCCGATTGCATGTTGAAGGAATGAATTTCCCCATCGCTGTACCCCACGATGCCAATGTGTCCACATGTCGATATCAACACGCTCGTTGCGCTTTTTCTTCTCTTTCCCATTTGTCCTTGATCCTCTTCGAACTCGCCATGTTGGTTGTAGTCGTCAAAAATTTTGTACTCCTCCTCCTTCTCCTTCGATTCGCTGGAACATTCCTGCGCGTGATTCGACAGATTATGGATCCAGTTAAAGAGGCCCTCCCTCACTCCGTTGGGATTATCATTCCCATGTGGTTCCACTCCTTGGCCTTTTCCTCTTCCCTTTGCTGCCCCCGTCCCCCTTCCCCGCATGCGCTCTTTGGAAGCCCCACTAATCACATCGCCGGGAAGTGTCAAAAATACATTGTCTATAACCTTCTTGTAGGAGGAGGCAAAGTAAACTCGGAGAGAGTCCCTGACACACACGAGGATGTTATTCCAATCGTAGTGCCTATTTGGATTAATGTCAAAATCGATGATGGTCCTATCTAGGAGGTTAATTTTTTTGTTCCATGAAAAGTCTTTATTCTGTTCAGGGCAATGTGGGTTTATGATGTAGAGATTTCCTTCCCGTTTCTTTGCCTCATTTGCAGAGACCAATATTTTGAATTTCTCGTCGTCGAGATATTTTACATTATTGATGAGTCCAACGCAACTGTTTCTTCTCTTCATAACATCCAAGGTGAAAGTAGACTTATGCAAATTGAGCAGATTTATTTTGTTGTCTCTTTGGCCAACTGTGAATAGGTACTCCCCCCCTTGAGGAGGTATCAATATGGCCTTCACACAATCGTGAGCATCTCGTAAAATGAAATAGTTACTGCTGTTCGGATCGATCATAATAATCTTCCCTAACTCGGTGCCTACCAAGATGACTGACATGCTTTCAGCATCATACGTGTAATTGTAGAACTGCACACAGGTAATTTTGTCCTCATTCATGTGTATATTCTTTGAGTACACCAGTTCGTCTCTGTCCGTGCTGATTATGTAAAGCTCATTGGCTGATGTTACGATGCACAGCTGATCCTTCTTCGTTGTCAGGGTGATAAATTTTATGTTTTTTTCGTTTCTTAAATTAACGCTCCGGAGAGCCCTATACTCGTGGATGATTTTCTCCTTGTTGATGTTGTATAGATATATTTTATTTTCACTCGTTAGGATGATCACTTTGTTTATGTACCCTGGGGGGTGGATGACGGAGCGTATTTCGACATCGGAGTGGTCGTCAAATAGGAGGATCCTTTTGAAGAGGTGCTTCTTTCCGTTTGGGCAGCCACTCAGGGTGGGGTCCCCAGAGAGGGGGGCTTCATCTCTCCCCATGGCTGCGTTATCATCATCATGGTTCGGTTCTCCCTCCTTCGCTTCGTTCGCCACATACGATGGGTTTTCTCTCCCCATCGTTGCGTTAGCCTCATCATGGTTTGCTTCTCCCCCCTTCGCGGCTTCCTCCTCATCAGGGTTCTCTTCTCCCCATTGGTCTCCATGCCCCACCTCACTGCAGGACTCGCTAACAAAATCGTCGCCATCGCATCCCTCCTTGTACACGTCGTTCCATATGACTATCTCCTTTTTGCTATACGTCAGCAGGTAATCATACACAGTCAAAATATTCACAATGTTACGGAAGTCCTCCTCCAAAGAGAAGATCTTTTTCCCACCAGACTCATTAACCTTGTAAACCTTTTTTCGGAAAATGACGTAGACGTACCCATTAGCGCAGTACAAATTTTGTATGTCTTCTGGATAGTGCTCAGATGTGTAGGCTTTCCTCAGTTTATGTGGGTCCAGGACATAAAATGCGTTTTTAGCACTTGTGATGACGAAACACTGTTGTCCTTTCATGGACAAGCACATTACTCCATTGTGGACAACTAGCCCGATAGTCCCATTGGACATAAGCAGGTTGCTTTGTTTGTGAATTTTTCTTCTACAAAATTTAACCGATCTGTGAACTTCCTCCTGGATATCTCCTTCATTCGTCTCCTTCGCTGCGTCCCCATTCGTGGAGTCATCGCCTCCTTTGGGGAGAGCTTCTACCGCCCAATTGGATTGCCTTAGTCCATTCGCCTTTGCTCTATCTTTGAAGAATTCATTCTTTACATAAATATTGTTAATCTCTCCATTGTTTAATTTGGTTACTCGGTACTTGTTCAGTATGTTTCTCGACTTTTTTGTGGATTCCTCATTGTTTGCTTTGCTACTCTGTTGGTGCTGTTGGTTCGCTCGGCCGGGCTTCTTTTCTGAGGCAAAAACGTCACTCAGTTTAAGCGCCACGTGCGGGGGGTTCTTCTCGATGCCCATGTTGCCGCGTTGTTCGCCTCGCCCGGTCGGGGATGCTAACTAGCGCATGCAGAGGCGCAGATGGCGCAGCGTGATGAAGAAGCGACCAGGCAAATAAAGCCAACATGCGTCCCTGCAGAAGGTCACTCCCTGCGGGCCTCGCTCAAATCATCGTCGCGAGTATGGACCACTGAGAGAGAAATTACGGGTGGAGTTCCACTTTGGTCCAAATAAACAAATGGGCAAAGTGAAAACGCTGGGAGCACTTTTTCTATAGGAAAAGGAAAGTGGCCAGGGAACAAACGCGCCGCTCTCAAAAGTGAACAAGAGTCGTATGAGAGCAGTATGGGCTCAAAGAACGAACGAAGTTAATTCCAAACTTTATTATGTTTATCTTTTCGCCTGTAACGTAGCTACGGACATGTATTGGTACGCAAGCGTAAAGCCAAGCAGCTGTAATGTGGTCTTCACATGACATGCACTACGGATAAACAAAAAAAGCAAAAAAAAAAAATTGACAAACTGTAAGTTGGAAAATTCAAGGCGTTACATTTTATTTGTAGTATTTTCCCCATTCAGGGAGAAAAAAAAAACAGGATATGAAAAAAAAAAAAAAAAAAGGCATACTAATTGCGTTTTATATGCGTATTGCCTATATAGTGCCGTGGTTCTGTACACCGCCCTGGTGGCGACAACAATCCAAGGGAGAGGTGGGCCCGCCGTGCCACATCGGCACAGTGGCGTACGAAAAAATACAGCATAATGACATACGTACTTTGTACGCATAAAATAATTGTGCAGGGGCAGAAAAAAAAAATAAAAACATGTGGACTGTTATCAGCACATATTTTTTCTCCACCTTTTGAGAATTTAGCGAAAAAATTGTCACTATTTATTGTTCCCTTTTGTAGAAATTTTATTTCGCTTACTTTTTTTTTTTTTTTTTGACATACCCTTTTTTTTTTTTCTCTTTCTACATTCGTGCGTTCCCCTATAACTTTGTTTTAGTTGAAGGAGAAAAAAATCTATAACTGCAGAAAGTGTTTTTTTTTTTTCTTTCTGGATTGTATCACCTTTGCAAAGTCTTAACTACTTGGAACAGACACTACTCCCTCGTAAGGGCATAAAGCGCATATCAACATCCAACCCGGATTGAGGATAAGCCACACACAAAAGGAGAAACAAAACAGATAACCCTGTACAGTAGCATCAATAAAAATGGCTGACGTTGCAAGTAATACAATTCGTGTGAGAAATGTTCTTATGAAGAGGGACATTCTACATGTGAGGAGGGACTACCTAACGGGTGCCCCTCCGTATGATTGCTCTGTGTTATGTGGAAATGAGTGAAGAGGGCTGTTTTTCTGTTTTTTTTGAGGGGATTATTTTCCTCCCTGGACGTAGTTCCCTCTCTTTTTTTTTTTTTGCTATGCATTTCCTTTTTGGGTGTATTCAAAATGGTTGACCTGCTGCTACACCAACGGTTTGATGTGCCTGCCTCTTTCTTCAAAGATGGCCATACGGATGAGCTCTCCCCGTCTAGTACACATTAACGTGTTGCTCTGTTTGTTTTTACCACTCATCGTGTGCACGTGTTAATGCGACTGCGGCAGGATTGTGATGGGGGTGCCTCATCCGTAGGCTGCACGTTCCTTCGCAGTTACTCCATCATAGCGTCGTAACTTTTTCGTAATCCTTTTTCGCCACGTCTTTTATTTTATTTTATTTATTTTTTTTCTTCCTTTGTTCCCCTCTTTGCAGAAAACAGGAACACGGAGAACTTGAACAGAAATGAAAAACAAAGCGACGTGAGGCAGATGAACATTTTGGCGGCGAAGGCCGTGGCGGACGTGACGAGGACTAGCTTGGGTCCGAAGGGCATGGACAAAATGGTTCGTGTGCGTGTGCCTCCGTTGCACAATGGCGATTTATTTTTCCCCTTTCTTAGTGCGACATCTGTACCACCACCCCGTTACGTAATTTTGTTTACCTGTTACGTAATTTCGTCTACCCCTTACGTAATTTCCTCCACACCTCTGCTTAATTCCCCTTCAGATCGAGGACGGAAAAGGAGGAGTGATCATCACGAACGACGGAGCGACGATCCTGAAAGAAATGGCCGTGGCGCACCCAACGGCAAAAATGATCGTGGAGCTGAGCAAGGCGCAGGACGTAGAGGCAGGGGACGGAACGACCTCGGTAGTGGTCATGTGTGGATCTCTCCTAAATGTGTGCAAAGCGTTGCTAGATAAAAATATCCATTGCCAAAAAATTTCGGAAAGTTTTTTCGAGGCGTCTCTGAAAAGCGAAGAAATATTAAGAAACATGTCCATCCCAATAGATCTCAATGACAAAAATATGTTAATCCAAAATGCGATAACGTCGTTGAACTCGAAGGTGGTGTCTCACAATTCATCCCTCTTGGCTCCAATAGCTGTAGATGTTATTTTAAAAATCACCGATATTAATAAGGACAGGAATGTAGACCTGAATAACATCCGAATTGTGAAAAAACTGGGAGGCACCATTGAAGACACAGAAATTGTGGATGGCCTGATATTTACAAGCAACAAAATTAGCAAGAGAGCACACGCAATAAAGAATTTATCCCAAGCGAAGATTGGACTCATACAGTTCTGCCTGTCTTTACCCAAAACAGATATGGACAACACAGTGGTGGTGAAGGATTATAACAGCATGGATAGACTGCTCAGAGAAGAAAGAGTAATAATTGCAAAGATGATTAAAAAAATTGCCTCCACTGGTTGTAACTTATTGCTGATACAGAAGAGTATTTTACGCGATGCAGTGAACGATTTAGCTCTGGACTTTTTATCAAAGTCAAAAATTATGGTTATAAAAGACATCGAAAGGGAGGACATAGAATTCATTTCGAAGACATGCAATTGTGTTCCTGTTGCTAGTCTGGATTATTTCACTCCGGATAAGTTAGGCTATGCTGAGAGCGTCGTCACCGAATCGATTGGGTATGGTGAAATTGTTAAAATTACAGGAGTGGAGTCAAAGAATACCATTTCTGTTTTGTTGAGAGCTTCAAATAATCTCATGCTTGACGAAGCGGAAAGGTCGCTACACGATGCGCTCTGCGTTGTTCGAAGCTTAATTAAAGAGAGGGCCATTCTACCTGGAGGAGCTGCCCCAGAAATGGAACTGTCCCAGAAGTTGTACCAGTGGGCAAATACTCTTAAAGGCTCGAAACAAATCTGCGTTAAAGCCTTTTCAGATGCATTGGAATTAATCCCCTACACGTTAGCAGAAAACGCAGGCCTATCACCACTTCACATTGTCACCGAATTGAGGAACAAACATGCAGAGGGACATAAATACTTCGGGATAAACATTCGCACAGGAACCATATCTAATATGATCGATGAAAACGTCATACAACCTTTGCTAGTCACCTCCACGGCGATTAAGTTAGCGACTGAGTCCGTCATGATGATTCTCAAAATTGACGATACGGTCATCTGTAGGTAAACTGCTACCCCCCACTGCCACTCTCAATTGGGGAATTCACCCAAAATCTCTCCTCCCAGAAAAAAAAAAAAAAAGAACAAAGGGGGTTCTCTTGAAAGAGCAGAAATTGTGTCGGATTTACTGCCCAGTTTGGAAGTCATCCCAAACGTGTAATGTTCAACTATACAATGGGCCCCTTTTCGCAAAGCGAGCGGTATAGCAGACAATTTAGGAGAGGGATGACCATCCAAGTCCAGTCCCCTTGTTCAGTCACACCGTTCGATGTGCAAATGAAAATGTAGCTCTATGTCTGTCCGCGCGAGCTTCCTAAATAATAGCCGTTCTGTGATTAATGCTCCATATTCCTGTTACACTGTTGCATACTTTTCCAGCCAGGCGTGTATATTATATACGTTGAGGGACCCATCACGGGTATCTAAGCAGGTGAGTGCTACTCCCCCAATCCTCCTCTGTTGTTTCCTTCCATGGCCATGACAAACTGAGAATACACATAACGTATGCATCATCAAAACGGTAGCCCTTTCGGTGACCCGTTAGGTACCCCTTTCTTTTTTTTTTTTTTTTCGAACCATTTTTTACCCATATATTTATCTTAAAAAAAAAAAAAAAAACGTAAACTATGCAACTAATACGCAAATCGTTTCTTATTCATTATGAGGAAAGGAGAGGCGCACAGTTGGGTGCGTTACTTCTCTGCGTAGTAGCTCTCGAAGCGGAATCATAAAAAAGGAATACGCGGCATGATTTACAAAATTGTGTGTTTTTCAGTGTCGAATAGTCCTATGTTAGCATGCGTAGGGACGTTAATAAGGATAGGGGAGGATCAATTTGTTTGTAGTTCATGCGGTCGTTCCGCACAAGGGGCGTAGAAAATTGCGCTGCCTGCGGCAATGTGTTAGGAGATGGAGAGAACGTTCCTCTAGAAGTATCACTCTTTCATCAGTTGCGCTGGCCCAGATGTGTTATGATGATTACTTTTCTTCCCCGCTTGTTAGCCCCATTTTATGAGTAATTATTTATACTCTTTTTATAAATAGAACAATTTTTTCTCATCGCAATAACCATCCCAACATTTTACCACCGATAGGAATTTTCTCCCTATCTTGGCTTTCAATCGATACGGTAAGAAAAAAAAAAAAAATAGAAAACTGGGAAAAGTAGTGCCCCCCTTGTACTGTTTTGCAAAGTCTCTTTTCGTAAATTCAGCTCATCGAAGCAGCCGCTGCAACAGAATGGAAAATATTCGCGTGGGTAAGTTATTCGTTTTTCTTGTTTTTTTTTTTTTTTCGTTAACCCTAATGATGCCTGGACGTCCCCCTATATGTGTATATACGTGCATATGAGCGTGCCGTCATGCATACCCTCCCTTTTGGAGGCCCCTTGCTCCTCAACGGGTAGCGTGTCCCACTAGGACTTTCAAAAATGAGCCAAGCCTTTAGAGTTAAGTGCCCAACATAGTCTCTTACCGTTTTGTAAAACTTTCCTCCCTGCACGTTTTCCCCTCCATATGTTAAGGATTCATCGGTCTAGGAAAAATGGGCTCGCCGTTAGCCTACGGCATACAAAGATCTAAGCTCATTGGGAATCAAAATATTTATTACCACACACCGGGGAAGAAGGAAGTTCCCTTCCATTATCTCGAATCTAATGAAGTGGTACGAGGATATGGACGTTCGCCATGGAAGTTGCGAAAGATTGGCCATGCATCTTTGATAAGCAACTCTACGATGGCACGTCATCCACAATAATCATCGTAATGTTATGAACAAAATGGACACTCCACCCCCCCCGTCTTTCTGCAGGTTGTCAAGACGTGTGACATAATTGTGCTAGCCGTGAAACCAGACGTTGCTGCAAAAGTACTGCTGGAAATTAGGGTACCAAAAAGAGAGAGGACAAGGAGGTGCAGGTGTTCTTCGCTGTGGCGACTGAAAAATGTGGAAAATAAAATCCACAGGGGCTTTGCAAGTGCACATAGATGCTCATATTTTACTGTGTTTGTATATTCGAGAGTTCACTTGCTACATTCTACTGTGCATTTTTCAACCGACGCGTTATACCCTCTTCTTTTTACCCCTCACATTTCATTCCCCCCTTTTTACCCCCCTTTTTATGTTTCCATTTAAAGCAATACGCATCCAATAAATTGCTCATTTCCATTTGTGGGGGACTGAACTTAAAAACCCTGGAAGAGGTACCCAATGAAGAAGCTATTTTTTGTCCATTCGATTTTATCTCCTCCAGAGGGATGCGCTGCATGAGTACAGCAAATATATATATGTGTGTATATATACACATATATATATGTATATATGTGTGTATATGTACATGTCTGTATGTGCACATAGGTGTAGTGTATCCATCACCGCTCCCCCCGAATGACTGGCCCGATTTACATTATCCCTATTGGCACTTCCCCTCGCAGATGGTGGGAGTACCCACCAAAATCGTGAGAATCATGCCAAACACGCCATCCCTGGTTGGACAAGGCTGCCTTGTTTTTTGTGGAAATATTCATGTAGACGCAAGAGATACACAGAAGGTAATCGATATTTTCAGCGCATGTGGAGTTATACAAGAAATAAAAGAAGCAAACATGGACATAGCAACGGCCATCTCTGGTTGTGGGCCAGCTTATATTTTTTTATTTATTGAAAGTTTAATTGATGCCGGGGTTAAGAATGGGCTAAATAGGGATGTGGCAAAAAACCTGGTTCTGCAAACAATCCTTGGATCTATTCACTTGGTTAAGGCTTCGAGCCAGCCCATTCAGCAGCTGAAGGACGACGTGTGTACCCCCCATGGGATTTCCATCGCGGGCTTGTGCACCTTGGAGAAACACGCATTCAAATATGCAGGTAAGGAAGCGCGACGGAGTTTATTCGGTGAAGCGTATGCGGGGTGTAAAAATTGTACACAACTCACTCTCCTTCCCCTGGTACTCGTCATATTCCTTTTTTTCTCTTTTTTTTCCTTATCCCCTACGCAGTCATGGATGCAGTGGAGAGTGCCTACAAAAAATCCAAGTCAATGCACTGAACGGTAAAGCCCATGAGATAGCATCCCGCGTCCTGTGCAATCGCGCCGCTTCTACGAGGCGAACATCTTAGCTGCTTCTACATCCTCAGGGAAGAACTTAAAGATTCGTTCGTCTGATTTAGGTTAAATTAACACAAAAAAAAAAAAAGAAAAAAAAGAGAGACTAAACATTGGACAAATGGTTAAGTCATTTGGAAAACAAAAAAGGGAACGAAGGGAAAGGACACGTCAGGGTGTGACACGACAGGTGAAAGGGTAACACGGCAAACGGGTTAGCGGGTTAGCGGGCGAGTGAGAGGATCATTTGCGGAGGCCCCCTCCTCCTGCTATGGATCCGATAACACTGAATCTTTTACGCTTCCCGTTTAAAAAATATATTTCGCAACAACTCTATCATATTCTGCTTCTTCCCGTCACTCGATTCCGTGCTCATGGATTTAAAAAATTTGTAGTTCATGTGGTTCATATTTACATCCCTTTTGAGAAGGCTTTTTTTATTTATCGCTGAATTGTCCACCAGATCAGACGTGTTTATTTTTTCGTCCCCTACAAGTGTCTCACGTAGAGGATCCTCTTCTTGTGTACCTTCCGATTGGTAGTAACTTCCTCGCTTCTCATTCAATGCTGAATTGTGAAAGTCAGGAATTTTCTTCGAATTTGGATAAGTGGATGACCCTTTAGGGTTATATGAATAATTATCTTCGTCTGGGTCCTCATCAGATGAGGGGTCCCCAAGATAGTTCACACTACCTCCTTTCTGTGTGTTGCCCGAATGGGTATCTGTTCTATGGCTTTCATTTGTTGAAATTTCCTCCTTGGTTGGGGAATGATCTGACGGGACGCTTTCATACGGCACTTGGGTCTTTCCCCCAGGGGGGTGGTTATCATGATCGACGATTCCCTTTTCCCCTTGGGGGGTGGCCGCATTGTATGGAATCATTTTATCAATGTTGATGTCGTAACTTTTTTTACTCACATCTTCAACATTGGAGAAGCACTGATCGGTGTGAAAATATAGGTTTTTTTTCAGAAGGATAAAATATATTTCGTTTAGTAACATTCGAATGCCTGTTAGCGGTACGACATTAACGTAGTGGTTTTTTTCTCTTTTAGACCTACTAAAGAAATTATTTTTCTGCATACTCTCCAGCTTCATGAGAAATTTATTATTGTTGTGGAAAAGGTTGGTGAAGTAGTGGAAGAACCCGTTTGATGTGCTTGTGGTTGTGCTTCTACCGGAGCTGTTACTTTTGTTTATGATGTCTAGAATTTCTTCGATGTTGTTTAGGTCAAACTTTTCGTCTTCGTCCACGAGGCCAAAGTTGAAGTTTCGATACGGGGCGGAGCTTCCTGTGTTCGGCTGGGCATTCGGCTTGGAATTGGAATATGCACCTGTCTCCTCTGCCCTGACTGGTTGAGATGAAGGGGGCAGTTGTCCCCCCCTTTGGTCGGTAATCCCAACCTCTTCGGTGCTGCCAATCTGGTTGTTAATTCCAATCTGTGCACTGCCCTGGCCAACTGCCCCCCAATTGGGGAAAAGGAAGCCACAAATTTGGGACTTGACTCTATCAAGATAGGAGTCTCCCCCTCCCCATACCTTCCTTTGCCTCTCTTGGTACTCCTTCACATCTCGACTGTCCTCCAGAATGTTAACCAATTGGATGAGCTTCTTCTGGTTGTAAGCATGATCTTCGAAGTATCGCTTCCCTATCTTCTTCAATTTGTGGATAATTTCAGGGGACGTCTCATCCAAACTGATATTATTAATGAAGCAGTTGAATCGGAAATATTTATCTCTATCCAAGACGTTGTTGCAGATGTCGTGCGTCAACTCCGTGTTGGTGATTGAGTAAACAATTTGTTTTAAGAGGACATCCCACCGCAGGAAGGTGTCAGACGTTTTGTTTTCGCTTAGTTCGTTTATATTTTTTGGTTTAAATTTTCCAGTGCCCACACTTACGATGCAGTCAATGTAGTCATTCAGATTGATTGCCTTATTTTTTCCCTCCACCAATTCTTTTTTTTTGGAGAAAAAGCATTTTACTCTCTCCACTAGGGTACTTTTCCGACTGTTAAGGTAGTTGTAGAAAATTAATTTCATTTCGTTGAGGCTTACCAGAGTGGGGTTATTAAAGCAGATGGCTCCATCCGCATAAATGTTACTGTCGAAGGAGAAAAAATTAAAAAAACCCGGCGCGGCAGTAGTGCACCTCAATACGTACTTGACAAAAATGTTGTAAAAGCTTTTATAAACACTGACGCTGTTTATATTTTGGTTAATGTGGATGTCACTCGTGTGGGGGTTGTTGCTCTCCGAAATGTTCACTCCATTCGCGTCGTTAGCGGCTTTGGCCTTTTCCGCATCCTGCGCATCGTTGTGCTGATCGTCCCATACCTGTTTGCTGTGGAAATGTGTCCACCTTTCGTCCTCCTCCCCATTCTGCTCTTCCCTACCTCCTACATGGTCATAATTGGTTGACGTATAACCGTCACACACCTCTTCTCGTTTAGCACCTTTAATCTTCCCCAAGTTGGCAGTGTAATTTTTTAATATCACGGGCTGCAGAGGAGTGACATTCATCTGAGTCGACACGGTAAAGACGTAGGGTGTGAAAAAGTCCGCGTTGTAGTGAAACATTTTCATATTTTTAAAAAAGGAATTTAGAATGTTACTCAATATTTTGGAATCATAGTAAGAATGCTTAAATAAATATCTTGTGTTCCTCACTGCATACATGTCCTTCTGGAAGATTTTGTTTATCAACAGGTTGTACAAAAATTCGACCTCATTTAAGTGGGCCTTTTCCAGGCCGATCAAAATGGATATGATGGCCCCGGTGCTGGTTCCACAGATGATGTCGAAGTATTCAAATATGTTTTTCTTCAAATGGCTATTTATGCATTTTAATATTTCTATGGAGAGCAACCCTCGGATTCCTCCTCCGTCAAGACATAAAATCCTTAACTTTCTCTTTTTTTTCTTTTTCAATTCGATTACTAGGTTTCGAAATTTGTCCATACTTATGTTTTCCTTGCTGTTCAGGTCATATATATATGTTCGCTTCTTCCTGTTTTTTTGCTCCTGTGTGTCTTTCGCGGGGGTGCTTCCGCTCTGTGTGTGTGCGCCCTCTCCGTTCGTTTGTAACTCCGCGGGTTTGGCACTGCCACGGTTATTCCATCGGTTATTTCCCCTGTCACTTCCGATTCTGCCACCGGCACTGTCACCTACGCTTTCACCTCCCCTCTCATTGGCTCTCTGACCAACGGGGCCTCCACTGTTGGAATCCTCCATGGGGTGACCCTCCTGCACGGCCTGCCACGCCACGTACCTCCTCGCTTTGGCAAAATATCCCCAAAGGGCATTCCCCAGGTGGTGGAAAAGTCCTCTCCACTGCTCACCTTCCTTCATCAAATAATCATGGGGCTTCTTTTCCCTGTCCGAAAAAACGATATCATTGTACAGGTCGAACATATTCACCCCCAGCGCCTTCAGCAGAATGTTCGTTTTCCGAATGATAATCAAATCTTTATATTCGCAAATAAAATGCCTATTATAAATGTTGTTTAATTTTCTTTTAAAAATTTTATTATCCAAGAGAAACTGCTCCTTCTTCTCATCAGATATGTAAAGCGAGTTCTGATTTCTGTACTTATTTTCAAAAAAAAGAGTTAACGTTTTTAAGCACTCGATTAGTTTATCCCACTTCTGCAACTCTTTGATAAAGCTTCCTGCTTTTATGTCTTCCATATATTTTGCCACATCTCTATACAGAAGCCTGTAGTTTTTGTTTTTCCTTAAGCTGTTTAATCCATTTCGGTAGAAGCCTTGGTGGAAGCACAGGATGTAGAGGATTCTCAGAATCAGCGTGATGTTTGCTCGGTTTAAATTATTCTGTACATTTTTGGACAATATTTTTATAATCTTATCCATGTTATCCTTCTTCATAATCGTGTAGTAGTATAAATTATATACTACAGAGATTTTATTTTCCAATAAGATTTCGTATAGTAGTTTTAGTAGCTTGTTTGTGAAATAGTCGTTTAGGCTGATATGTCTGAATAGCGATTCGATGTAGTTTTCCACTAGGGAGAAATTCAGGTAGGGGCTGCCAATGTGCAGCGGGTTTTTTCTTCCCCCTTCATCCTTATCCTCACTGTTCACTTTGAAATTTTTCAACAAATCCAGGTTGAACTGTATGAACCCTATGAGGATGTATTTGTCCGGTTTTGGCGCATTCTCCCAAAGGGCTTTTTTTCCCATTTCTCCCCCTTCTTTGCGCTTCACGTATATTTCTTCGTACCCCTCCACAGGTGCCACCCCCCCTTGCGGTTCTCCTCTTCTGCAAAACGTCTGCTTCAGATCGGTGCCGTTTATGTAGCTCTGCTCATTGAGATCGTTGTGCGGATGTTTAATCTGCTCTGCTGGTGTGCTACCCCCATATGGAGTATCCGCCGCAACGTTTTCAGTGTTCACAGAGGGGTCGCTTGATTCCATTTCGGGAGCCTTATATGATATTTCTCTCCCCAGTTGATCCCCCGTCCTGTTCAGACTTGCCCATCGGCACTCTTTCCCGTTTTCATTTTTCCTTATCAGTATTAGTAAGCCCATATTTAGGAAGCGTCTTTTATTTTCTGCGCCCCCAGTGACTTTAGCCTCTGGGTTATTTTCAACATCTTTAATATCCACATTATAGTCACTCAAAACGATGTTAACCTTATTTTGGTCAAAATTTCCTTCTTCTTCTTCCTCCTCCTTCTCGTCTGGTTTATCGTTTTGTAAATCTTCCTCATAGTCTTGTTGGGGTTCTACCTCTTCATCGTCTTCTACTTCTTCTTGTTGTTCTCCTTCCTCATGCATGTCTTCTTCTCCTCGTTCGTCTTGATCTTCCACGTCTCGCCCCTCTTCATGCACATCGTCCACGGCATTGGTTTTGTCTTCACTCCATGCGTCCCTCTCGCTTCTGCTCTCCTTCTCAGTTTTGACCTCCCTGAGGTGGAATCTCTTCCCGTTTTTGTTCTTCTCATACTTCAAAATGTCTGCATCGTCTTCTGCGTAATTTTCGTAAACGTCAAAATAGTTGTTGCAGTTGTATTCGTCTCCTATCCATTCGATCGTGTTGCCTACGTTGCTGAAGCCGTTTGGGCTGTTTAGGATGCTTTTTTTCCGGAGTTTCTCCATGGAGGGTTGTTCGCCTGCTTGGCCCTGATTCCCAACACGTGCCTTCCTCTTATACACGATGACATCCTTTTCGTTTTGGAACTGCAATAGCACGCTCGTTAGAATGTTGTCCTTTGCGTTCTTATTGAAGTAGAAGGGGACGAAGAGGATGGTGTCTGTGGCGGCGCCCACCGCGTTTGCGCCGTTTACTTGTTGGGCGTCCACGTCCCTCAGATGGAAGTTCTCCCCCGTATCGAAGCGATCTCTCTTCACAAATGAGTTCGCCCCCTTATGGGGATCACCATGGCCGGCAATGGCCCCCGCCAAACTGATCGTTTTGGGGCTCCCCATTTGGTTCTCTTTTTTTGTAGGGTCAAATATTTCCCCTTGTTTATTTTTTTCAGTGGGGGGTTCCCCCCTGATGGTGCGGTTTTGAGCAAACTGGGAATTTACCCCGTTGTGTATATTGTTGGCATATGCTTTACGATTTTTCTCCGATCTGTGATCCGAATCCTGTGCAGGGAAATCCCCTTCTACGTACGGCACGCTGGAAAGCACTTCTCCATGATTAGTTAAGGCATATCCTCTGGACTTTCCCTCTTCCTTCATTTTTTCCTCCTTCAGTTTTAGCAGTATATGTTTACCTAGAAAAACAATTTTATTTTTCATTTCTTCTATATCTTCCTTCTTGATTTGATTCTTCCCTGTTTCCACCTTGGCCTCTGCCCCTTCAGAGGTGTCTTCCATACGTTCACTCTGATTCTGACTCTGAGTGTGATTGTGACTCTTCGTTCCATCTGAGCTGTTCTTAAAAAGGGATATGAAGTAACTAAAAAAAGAGTTGGCTTCTTTATACGTCTCATTTGTCTGTTCCTTCTCATTAAGTATATTCATAATGACGTACAGAAGAGAGATCTTCTCATTTTTATGTGTGAAGTCGTTAAGGATAATTCTATAGAAATTCTTATGCTTTGATAAATTGTTAAATATGAGTAATATTTTGTAGATAATCTGGTAATCCACTTGTTCATTTTTCTCTTCGTTTTTTCTTAGCATTAAGAATCTCTCATTCAGTATGTATATAATTGTTCTTATGTGGTTGTTGGAGAAGAGCAGGTGTTCGCATGTCTTGTCTTCCACAATTTTGTGCAGGAAGTTTATGTAGTTGAGCTTTTCCCGGGTGTCCGTTACGTCGTTCAGCTTTCTGAAGAACAGGTCCAGTCCTGCGCGGGAGGTAGCGGTGAAAGTGTAACATAAGAAGTGTACCCTAAGAAGTGGACACTTAAAAGTGCACCCTCATAACTGCACCCGTGTGGACACCCCCGCGGTGAAGCGTCTACCGCGGAGACAATCACCCGGCTGACTTACCTATGTACTTATTCACAACATCGTTGAAGACGTTCACCCTCTTGCGCTGAGTTCTCCTCCTGAAAATTTTTATTCTTCGAAACTTGCTTAAATTCAGTCTCTTCGAAATGGGAGTTATGTACTTGAATATATTTTTTTGCATTCTTAGGGACAGAGAAAACATGAGAATGGAGTAAATGCCGTAAACCAGGAGGAGGTATGCATTTTTTTTCATTTTAGTGGCGGCAAAAGGGAGTGAAGCAAACTGGAGAGAAGCAAAAGCAAAACGTTAGGTATAACGAAAAAAAAAGTAGGGACTCCTTGGCTGGGATCTTTTATGTCCAGTTGCGCTTGGCATAGTGGAAAAGTGGTACAGTGGCCGATTCGGCACCCTATGCAATCCTCTTTTCCGGCTTCTTCCTCTTCTTCTTCTTCTTCTTCCCTGTTCGGGGGCTTTTCCCATTTCTTATTATTTCCACGCGGAGTACCTTGCCCTTGTGCGTTTTTCCCTTTCGCTTCCCTTTTTGGCTTAATTTTAAATTCTCCTCCTGTTCTATCTCAACCTGACCTTACCTTAAAAAATTTTTTTTTTTTCCATTTGCGTTACACGTTGCGCTGAAAAAAAAATAGTTATAACTCTGAATGTAAGGCACACATGCGGTTTAAAAAATGGGCTAATCGCTCTGGTGTGAATGCTTCACCTGCTATTCTCCTATTATGCTATTACGTTATTACGTTATCGTGTTATTCTGATTTTTTTTTTCCTTTCCCCCCCACACGTGAACTGTGGTGCTTAATTTTGTTCTGACCTCTTCGAAGGTGTACATTTGGCACACATCCATTTCGCAGAGTTTTTCCGTCAGGACAGGTTAGAAGAGTTGGCCTCGCGACGGGCATTCGCCACAATTCGTCCAAGTGCACGCATCATGGGCATATGTGCATGCGTACCTCCACATATGTGAGTACGCAACTGTACACCCAGGCATAAGTTTCTCTACATGCGGAACGCGAACTATAGGAGGCTATGTCTCCATAGTGCCCCTCCTTCTTCGTTTCAAATTAGCAAATTCGTTGAAAACATGCACCCTTGCCCCACTGGACCCATGACATCACAACTGCCATGAGGGTAGGCGGGCATCTCATGGGGAGATAAAAAAAAAAAATGAGTCTTTTCAAATGTTGGAAAATGGAGAAAAAAAAAAGGAGGGTAGAACATTTCGAGGGGGAATACCCTCGTGGGAGTATTACAAACAGGAAAAATAAAGTCTATGTAAAAAAAAGTTTTTTTTACAAAAAGTTGGAAATTTTGAGGAAGGCCAACTTTTATGAGAATAGGGGGCGGACGAATGGTGGTTAAACGTTTTCACCAACGGGGGGAAGTTACAAATGGGTGTGCACACTGGGCATGCACATGCGAATAGCTTAAAAAAAAAAAATAGGAAGAAGCTGCTAAACGTATATTTTTTCTCCGGGTTGGTAAGACGTTGGGTGCTCCGTATAACGAAGTGTGTGGGACGACCACTTTGACCGAATCGCCTGCATATTTCGCCTCCCCGTTCCTGCATGCACGCGGTCATTTGATATCTATGGATTTCTTCAGGTAGGGATTTATTCCCCTCTTTTCTCCTGAATAGTTATTTTCATGGACCTTCAATTTGGCGTGCTGACCGCTGTACATCTTCATCTTTTTGATATACTTTTGTTTATTGTGAACCCTTGCATTTCCATCGGTTGATTTTCTCTTCCTTACGAGGCCCCTATTTTGTAAAATATTCTTGTTCGGCATTCTTCTATCGTTAATTTCGTTTTCCTGATCGACTAATTTTTTCCTTATTTCTTTGTTCTTCTGATCCTTGAGGAATTTTTTTTCTTCCTTTTTCTTCTTTTTGAAGCTTAACATATTTTTAATATTTTCGTCGTCTATTTCGTCTTGTAAATTTTTGGTGCTCATAAAATGAGTAGATTTGCCGAGCTGTTCCTTCTGATGCGAGCTGCTCCATTTTGCGTTTCTTTCAAAGTTCTTAAAGGAGACGAAGTCATCATTAGCGTTGTTTGCTCCTTTCATTTGCTTCATCTGCTTCATTTGTTTCATTTGCTTCATTTTGTTAATGTTACTCCTAAACATTTTTGTTTCGTCCAGGTTGTTCTTCCTATCCGCTTCGTCATTCATCTCTGGCAGCTCCACAAACTTTAGCAAATCATTTGACGTCATTCCCACGTTCTTCAAGTTGCTCATTTTGTTTTTTTTTTTGCTCAAGGCTTTGATTTTTTTCTTCATGATTTTTTCGTCAAAGTTCATTAATTTTTCTTCCATTTTTTTAAAGTAATTTTCTTCTTCTATTTTTTCTGGTCTTGTGGACACCATGTCTTTTATTTCCTTGAGGAATATGTTTCTCTCATTTTTCATTTTTTCTCTTTTTTTTTTCTTTTCCTCCCTTTCCCTTTCCCGGATGTGGCTGTCCGTGTACTCGGTTATGAGGCTCTTGCTGATTTTGTACCTTTTGCCCTTGCCCGCTTGGGGTTCCTCTGCGAAGTCGGCCATTTCGTCCTCCTCATGGTCTTCGTTCTCCTCACCGTCTTCGTCCTCTTCATCGTCTTCAACCTCTTCATCGTCTTCCACCTCTTCATCGTCTTCCACCTCTTCATCGTCTTCCACCTCTTCATCGTCTTCCACCTCTTCATCGTCTTCCACCTCCTCATCGTCTTCAACCTCCTCATCGTCTTCCCGTTCTTCCACTTCTTCGTCATTTCCATCTTCATCCCCCGCGTGGATGCGGCGGCCTACCCGCTTCGAGCCTCTTGCCTCGTCGCGTCCCAACGCGTCTAACTCGTCCATCTGGCGACCCGAGGACGACTTGTTCAGCTGCTGAATCTTGAATTTAATTTTCTTATCCAGCTCATTCGTCTTAGCTATTATGGTGTTCATATAAATTAGCTTATCCAAAACGGGATGGTTGTGTGTATAGCCATTCATAACTTTAAGAAAGACATAGTACGTGATGTATATGATATAAGTCAGCATCGTTTCATTCTTCTTCTTAAGGTAGAGGAGGGTGTTCTTATTGATATCTGTTTGGTTAACATTCTGTTCGTTAATTTCCTTAAAGTGGAAGAGCCCTTGGTTTTCCTTAATTTCGTTATAAACCTTTTGGATGTTCAGGGAGAGTTCTTTTAACAAAATTTTGTATTCCTCTCTCTCGCTCATTACGATATCTTCTATTTCATCATGTTTTTTCATCTGTTCAATTTGGTGAATTTCTTTAGCACCATTTTCTTCACTCAGTTGGTTTCTTTTTTCCCTCATATCCGTATTCATATCGCTGATTAGCTTTTTAATGATGTTTTCCTTCTCATGGGCGGTGTACACTTCTTCGCCCGCTTTTCCTGACTTGGCCTCCTTGTCTTCATTGTACATGTCATACAAATCGAAGTCGTCTTCTTTTAAGTTTTCCTTCTCCTTTCTGCTGAGGTACATGGCTTCTTTGATTCTCTCCTTGTTGCCTTCTTCATCATCGCTCGTTGAGTCTTCGCTTTCGTATTGGTAGTAATTCTGTTTATCCTTTCTCCATGGTACGCGAACGAATTCGTCATCGCGCTGGTGATCGTCCTGGCTGTCGTCGTCCTCCTCCTCTTCATCACTGTCGGCATAGTCACCACCATCACGCGCATCGTCTTTGTCCTCCTCATCCTCCTCGTCATTCTCCTCATGCGCTGCTACTTTTTTTTTCTTCTTTTTTTTGCCGATTGCCCCCAGCGAGGATGGCTCATGCACGTCGTCACTCAAGATATCGTCGCTGGAGCTGACATTTCCAACATCGCTCTCATCTCCATCCTCAAATTCTAAATCCTCCGATTCGGAGTTCTCAACAAATTTAATCTTCCTTGTATCAACAGATATGCGCTTGTTCTTTTTCGGCATTTTTTATAAAAAGTGGATGCATGGGGAGGGGAACGAAAAGGAAATAGCTGCTAAATGGAGGGCTTCCTTGAGCGCCGAACTCGCGCCAATGTGCTGCAAAGTGGCTGCAAACTGTGGAGAAACGCCAAAATGGGATGCGGCAAAATAGATCCATTCAACTCTACCGCGTAGGCGCAGTTGAATGTACTCAAAAATATTTTTTTAAACGAAACAAACGAGAGTTGCTTTTTCCCTTGATGTTTCTTTCATATATTATATAGTATATATTATGTATTTTATTTTTATTTTTTTTTTTTTTCTTTGTGCTCCATTTGGCTAGATTTTTTTTCGCATCCCTTCAGAGGCATTACGCCAGGTGCTTTATTTGCTCTACAGAGGATATACCGTGCATGTAACCAGGCGGGGCCCGCCGCTTTATTTGTCATCCCCTATAAATGGTACATTTTCCATATTGTCCCTTTTTTTGTTCACTCTTCAGTTGGTGTTACAAGCGTGGTTCTCCGCAAAGTGGATCCGTTTCGCCACTCCGCATTGAGCAATGGTTGCTAAAATGGGGAATGGAAAAGAGCACTCACCTGTGCATTTGCAATCTGCATATGTTCACCCGCTTGCTATGTTTTATTACAAAAATGTAGAGCTAAAAAGGAACATGGCGTGAAATTTTTTTTCTTTCCCGATCTGCTCACAATTTTCATGCTTCTAAGTGTAAATTGCTGTCCTTGAAAATATGACACGCATACTGGAAGGGAGACACACTTAGGAGGAAAATGATCGGCGCGTTTACGCAAATACCACCAATTAGCAACTGTCATGTGCGAAAAATGTGATGTGCCCATTTTTGTCTCAGGATATTTCGTTCCGCGTGGGGGAGCGGCGAAAGGTTACTCTTTCGTCAAAAAAAAAAAGCATTGTTAAAATTTTGTCGATTTTTTGGCCCAATTTTCAGCCAATTTGTGGCTACCTTTTTGCCAAAAAATCCTCCGTTTTTTTTTTTATTCCCGCTCTCTTTGTGCCACTTTTCCCTTTGCTTGCGCCGCGGACAATTAACACAACAAGCGCGTACAGAAATATGCTAATGGTGATGTTAGAATAAGGCAGTTTACTCAATTTTATCCGAAGGTGCCCCACACCGATAAGCCAAGGTTTTTTAGAAGCATGAATGAACTAAAGGAGCTGAGCAGGAAGGTGAGAGAAAACACCAGCGTCAAAAAAGAGGAAAAGAAAAATGAACCGGAAATAAAAAACCTATTTGAGAACTTCCTGAGCAACAACTCGATAAATTACCTAAGCTCTTTTATAAACAAAACGAATGGGATTGATAAACCTGGGGAGAAGGAAGGAGGGGAAAGAACTCCCCAGGGGGGGGACCATTTGGAAAACGCGCGTCAAAGTGGGGAGAGGCAGGTGCGTGGGGAGCAGCACTTGGGTGGAGAGAAGGAGTTATATGGTGAACCCACTGCTGAGCAGGGAACCTATCAACAGGACGATGCCCCACCTGGTAAGAAGCACCTTACCGAGAAAAAGAAAAAATACAGAGATGATTCGGAAGGACACACGGGGGAAAGCAAAAATGTAAGCCACATAAATGTGAAGAAGATTCTACAGAACAAGAAGAACGTCGATTTTAAAGACCTGAACAAACTAATTAACTTTTTTGATGATGAAATAATGGAGAGAAGCAGAAAGCTGGAAAGGTTTATGAACCAGAATAAAATAAAAAATGATTATAGTGAGCAAATTTTAATGATAGAAAAATTTAACAGAGAAATGCGAATTATTGAAAAGGACCTTTCCCAGAAGGAGGACCCCCTGTACCAGCTCTATTTGATGAAAAAGGAAAAAAAAAAAAGCTACGACTCCTTAGTCTTTTTTAAAAACTTCTTTAACTGTTTAGAAAGTTACCTTCACCTTTCAGACAAAGCGGAAGCAAATTATAAAAAATTAAAAATATGGAAGGTGTTACTTTACCTGCGTAATTGTAAGACGCACATTTTGTTAATAAGAGCCATTTTTAAGTCTGCAAAAGGGGGAAATGTGGATGGTGAATCTGCGAAGGTGAAGCGGGCAAAGCTCAACATGGAAGAGGGCACCGCCGCGGATGGCCCTCCCCAGTTCGATGACGCCACAGTAATGGAAAAATCAAATGAAGCAGAAAAGTTTGAAGATATGTTGGGGCATAAGACAAACTGTGATGGCGTCCCCACAGATAATAACCACCTTGACAAAAAACTGATGGAAGATTTGAAAAATATGTTCCTAACGGATTCACCCGAAGAGGCGCAAAATGGAAAGCCCACCCTTATGAAGGAAATGATATTGAAGTATGACCATCTCGTTAACAATTTAAGGTGCATCGTCCGAGTCACCTTCGAGAAAATGTTTCTCTTCAACGGGAACATAAAAATATATAAACACGTCTATCTGAACCCGAGTGACATATCTTCACAAAACGAAGAAAGCATTCAGGGGCAAAAAATTTCCTACGTCCTGTTTTGGCATATGGCTTACATCCTGAAAATGCACAGGAAATACTTGGAGGAAATAAAAAAGCATTTATTTTTTAACCTCTTTAAATTTATGATCCTGTTCTATTGCCTTGCCAAAAATGTGAATTGGAAAAAGGTAATAAATAACCTCCATCAAATGGAACGTACATCAGCATACTCGTTGAATTATCGACATGTGAAGAAATTTGTCTCCAGTGTTGCACAAAAAAGTGATGTTGATTTGTGCACACCTAACAGTTGTAACCATTTTGGTACGTTTAAAAGTTTCCTCTTTTGTGCGAATGATGGGAGAACCTCCACGGGTGAAGAACAGGGCGGAGGCCGAAATGATCCCTTCACTGCTCTTTGCTTAAGTGATTATATAATTGAGCATGAAGATAGTGTTTTCATCGATATGGAAAATTTTTTTGGCAATTTTTTGGGGTCCTTGGAAGGAGCTCACAAGATAAATCAATCGTGTTCTTTGCATCCCGGGGGACTTTCCCCTTTTCAGGGCGGGAAAGTTGACCTGGAAGGGGAAGATGACTTGAAGAGTGACGAAGGGCAGGGAAGCCCAGGAGATGACAATAGAGGTGGAACGCTTCAATTCGGCTTCGGTGTTCCCATTAAGGCCCAGAAGGGGACAGAGCAGAACAACTTCTTCGCCGCGCTGTCGCGCTGTTTATTCGAGTTTCACGCTGTGGCGGAGTTGCTATTTGTAGAGAATAGAAAGAAAGTCAAGGGCAGGGGTGGACCGCGAAAAGTGGGCCAAACGAGCAAAGCGGCGGAAGCCGAGGAAGCGGAGGAAGCAGACAAAACAGCCGAAACAGACGAAACGGGCAGAACGAACAGAACGGACAAAACGGGTGAACTTTCCCCCCTCGACATTGCGATCGAGGAAGGGGCACGCGGGGGCGAACTGAAAGACGCATTCGACTTCTACTTTGGTGGCGAAAAAGGAGAACAAAATGGAAGCGAAACGTATTTTGTGGAATACGAATTGGAGGCACATGAGCAGGGCAGGCTGAACAATATGAAGGAGAAAATAAGGAGCAAGTATGAACAGAGCAAGTGCCAAGAAAGCAACGGCGAAGACGTGGAGAAAGGCGACGCAAGGGAGCCCCCCAATGGGTGGGCCTCCTTCTCCCACTACATGCTGAAAAAAGAATTGAACGAAAACCTCTTTACCTATTTTCACCATATAAATAAGAAGAGAAATAATTTCAGCCATATTTTCGATGTGTACTTTATGTACCGATGGAAGAAGGAAGAAAAAAAATTCGATCAGCTGATTCAGAAGATTTTTCAGAAAAATTTTCACCATTACCTTGATCAGATTTATTCCGTCCTGAGGGAAATGTTGCTTTTTAAAAAACGGGCCGAATACATACTAGTAAATTCCAGTGTGGATGATTATCTGTACAATGTCTTCTTTGATGAGGGGAACAATTATACTTTAAAAAATATGGAGGGAGTGACTTACCGTTCCGTTGTGCAATTCGTTGAGGAGGAACAAGGTGCCTTGAGCAAATCACTACAAGAGAAGGTTGACAAAATAATTGCACAGAAGAATATGCACACAAGGGGGATGACCGATGGGACAACCTACATGGTAGAGGAAGCTACTTGTGAGGACATTCCTGGGACAGGAAAATCCAGGAAATGGTTACCCCCATGGGGAGGTATCAAGGAGACCGTTTTGAGTAAAAAAAGGGGGAAAGAGACCAAGGGGGGGAAATGCCAAGTGGGACATGTGGGCAACCAAGAAGAGAATGATGATAAGGGCGTGAAAGACGGTGAGGGAGGCGTAGGGGCGACCCCCACAAACGAAAAAGCCATCTTAAGAGTCATCTCCCAGCAGGATCGCATAGACTGTATGAGGATCCATAAAAGTTTGCTCTACATCGTCTTTGTAGTATACCGGATTGTGCACTTTTCGTACGAAGTTTTGCACGACATGAAGGGGGCAGAATGGAGCCATCACTCGGCACACAAAATCGAGGAGGAAAAAGAAGAAAAAAATGAAGAGAAAAAAAGAAGACAAATCGTTCCAATTAATACAGTCCTATTTTGCTACAAAATTGTTAAATATATTTATGATGCATTTTTAAGTTATTGCTTTTTCGCATTTCGATTTTCCTGCTTTCCCAAGGTGCCATGTGCAAATGAATTTCTCTTGAGCATAATTAATGATAATATATTTTTAAAAAAGGTTTTGCAAAATATTCATTTTGTTTTCTTGCACCATCAGCATTTGTTTAATCTGTCCATCTGTGAAGAAGACATCATTTCTTTTAAAAATGTGGAATTGAAAGGTGATGGTTGCTTATGGAAAAGGGGAAGCAACAAATCGGTGGGCGAACAGCACATAAAGGGTGATCACATTACAAAGAGTGAACGGAAGGATATGAGGGATTCTGACGTGAACAGCTCAAAGTTACCGGAAGAGGGATATTTTCTCGAAAGGAATGGAGAAAAGAAAAAATCGACTTGTCCCCCAAAAGGACCCCTCCAGTGTATAAACAAAATGAGCGTACTGAAGAAGATTCACCTCTACATTGATAAGTTCCAGATAAATTTGAATTTTTTTAAAAATATGCTTGTCAAAATTTATAAGGAGAAATTTACGCGCCTTCTCCAGAAGGATACACTTTTCATGGAGGAGCAATTTTTAATCAGCACCTCCAAAATAGTGAACATCATTTTTGAGTTTTTTCAAATTCAGGACTTGTGCAAAATTGCGCACATGGATATTACCTTGCGCTTGGTGGATTATTTTTTTTTTCTTATCAACACGCAAGTGTATGCGTTTACAAATGAAAAGGGCAGAATCGATGAGCATGAGCGGAAACTCCTCTATGAGAAGTTCGTCTTCACTCAGAATAGTCTGTCCTTCGTTTTGCGCAGCTACGGAGGTACGTGCAACACGCATAAGATGGTTTCTTCAGCGAAGCGTCCACACCTATTGTATAGCGTTTGAGTTAGATTAGGAGCGAATATAGGGGGTGTGCCCAGCTCACTTCATTTTTTTTTTGCACCCATCTCCCTCTGTAGACAACTGCGGCGAACAGAAGAATCATTCACAGCAGGAGGGAAATTACTTTCTAAGGATAACGGACGAGCTTCCCATCAGTTTGGCCAATTTGAAGAAGAACAAAGCACTGTTTTTACTCCTTTTCTGCAAAGTCAAACAGATCCTGAATGCCAAAAAGGGGATACTCGAAATGCATGACGCGAAAATGGTCCAGGCGTTGCTAGCCAACAACCCGTATGCGTATGGGGACGAGAATTACGACGCGATCCTCAACGAGTTTAAGTGACCGTTGCGGGGCAGCTGGGCGCAGCTTAAAATGGTACAACATTGTCCAGCATGGATGGGCCGCTAAACAGGCACGCCTAGCCATGTTGATACCCATTGCGAGGAAAAAAATACTTATCGCCGTAGAGGTGATATCCGTACTACTTTTTTTGAGTGTTCCAAAATGATGCATTCCGTTGTTTCGTTTTTTTTTTTTTTTTTTTGATAACTCACTACGCAGCCATATGTTCATGTGACGCCCTTTGTTTCACGACACAGTAACCTGTGTGCACATCTCCAATTCGCATATTTTACAGTCTTTTTTATTTTCCGTAACCGTTCTGTACACTTTCTCCCCTTTGGCAAAGGAAAAGGTATGTGCATGGTGAGAGCACACATTTGCGATGTGTGGCCTTTTGCGTCGCTCGGGGGGGGCATTTCTATGTGAAGCGAATCGATTTCGGTCAAGGGCTCTAGTTGTCTACCGAGTGGTATGCGTGGTGCGCGTGATGCGCTGGACAAGCTTGTCTCTTTGTAAAACTTTCATTTAAGAGGAAAAAAAACAGTTGGTGGGGGTTACCACCCGGGAGTCGAATTAGGGGGCAAAAAGGTAAAGGGCATCAGCGCGGCGTACACGTATGAATGCCCGGCTAGGCATTCCTGTCAAAGAGCACTATGAGGGAGGAGAAGAAAAACCCACTGAGGAAGCCCAACGCATGGTTCAAGTGACTGACATTTTCGAGAAGCAGAGATGAAACGAATGAATAAAAAAAATTGTACAAAAAATTGCTGTTAACAATATAATTATGTTTAAAGTAAAAAAATATAATATATGTCATATGCATTCCATAAAGAGAATAAATACAGGAACTGCTTCCACAAATAATTTTATTATTTTTATTTACAAGGAGATTATTTTCGTTGGAAGCATTTTTTAAGATTAAATTTTTCAAAAGCACATTTTCTTTTTTTTCTCGCAAGTAACAAATGTATGATATGATGTTGGACAGGACCCCTGACAAGAGGAATGTACCAAATATTTGGCTGTTCGTGTAAATTGGTGAAATTAACTTATATATGGAAATTAGCGAACTCATGTTAAAATATAAATGCAAAATATTTTTGTGAATAAAAAGGGAAGTGAAAAATGTTTTAAAATTTTTTGTTTTGTAAACATCGTGATAATTGCATTTGTATTTTTCTGCCTTCTGTTGTTTCACTTCCATTAAATTCCCCTTGTGAAAAAAAATCCTCCTCTCAGCATCCTTATCAATTCGGTTTAAGTAAAGATACACGGCCACATTAACTGCTATAATTACTCTGTCCAACTTACACTTATTAAATAGGTGTTTAAAACAGAGCAAGTTATTTTGAAGCGTATCCTTTACTTGCTGCGTTTGAAAAAAATCCTCCATATAATTCTCTAGCCTCCTCGTTTTAATGTTATTCCATATTTCTGATACGTGTCTCTTGAAAGAGTAAATTTTTTTTATTCCCTTCTTTTCATGAACTTTGTAAAGGGCGTGGTCACACTGTATGGCCGTGGGTTTGTCGCTTATTCGCGCATGTCCTGTTCGCTTGTAGTTGTAGTTGATCCTTTTGTGCAGAAATGCGTTTCCTGTAGTAAGGCACGTTGCGATCGCGAGTAAGGTTAGAAGGTTCATCCTTCACAGCAGTGATGTCCCCTCTTGTTGGGGGGGTTAAGCGGTTAGGTCAGTTGTAGCGCTCGAGTGGTACGCCCGGATTGATACGGCGAATCGATGCAGCGAATGGTATGCTTCTCCTCCCCCGCCTCGGCTGTGCCTGCAAGTTGTGTCCCTTTTAACGAAGCCCATCGAGACTTTTTTTCAAGCCACGTGACGGCACGCCGAAGTGGTCAGTTCGGGTGGTGTATTGAAATCCCCCAGTTTGGCTGCTGACCCTTTTTAGAGCTGCTTAAAAAGGGGGCAGCGAATTGGCAGTATGCGTGCACACATTTTCTTGCAACGTTGAAGTTATGAAAATATATATTGCCGCTATGCAATATTGCGCCTGGGGGAGGTAGCGACGTTCGGGAAAATGCTTGTCCACACGTCGGCCGACGTTGCGTGCAGTGGGGACACTAAGGGTGTGCCTAGCTTGACCCGCGTTGGGCGAGGAACTCTGCCTGCAAGCTTTGCGAAGCCGCGCAATGGTCAACACAGTGTTCTGCCACGTTATGGCAAGCACGTAAAGTGGAGAAATGCACAAATTGGAAGAACATGAGGGAGCATCCCTACGGCTGGCCAATTAGATACATACTTGTACGTACGCACATTCGCATGCATATGTGTACATAACACATGTAAGCAGTATGGTTTAATTGTCAACCTTTGAATCTGGGAAAAAAAAAAAAATTGTCATATTAACTTTGTATTGTTCCCATTTTAAATTTGCCTTTCGTGGAATTTTAAAAGTTAAATTTGATGAAAGAAGGAACTTTCGAGAAAGTGGCAAGTTGAAAAGTTTAACTGGAATGAACATGTTCCCGTAATTTCGCGCACAGGCTAAAGTGGCAGGGGCGAAATATTCCCGCCTATGTCGGAGGGGCGCATTTAGTTTCACCGTGTTTGTAATAAAAATTTTGCTAACGTGGCCGAAATAAATTTCCCGTTTTTTTTTTCTTTTCTGTTTTTTTGACTCCACTTTTAACTTTCGTATTTGCAAAGGGAGGAGCAGTTTGGTGATTTATTTTTGTTCGTTAATTTTTTCACATGGGATGGAAAATCTGAAAAAACTGGGGCAATTGAAAAATCGCGAATTTGACAAGTTAAAATGGTAAAGGAAAGCGGAGCGACATGCGAGAAGAACGCGAAACAAACACCAAACAAATACTAAACAAATGAAGTGTCCCTCCTTTTACGATAGAAATCCGCTCCACGCCACACAGAAGCCATCCCCAGAGTTAATCCTTTTTTTTTACAATTCGTTATATGTCTAATTGGGGTTCTGGACAGTTGATCGTTGTGATCCGCTGAGTAATACACACACACATTATTTCATTCGAAACGAAGCGTCCCATATTTTTTCCTTTCCTTTGTCACGTTGAGTAAAGGTATAAAGCGCATGTGCAGCAAATATAGTAGCCTCCCTTTAAGACAGTTCCACTGATGAGTAGCAACATGCACGGGGGTCGCTCCACGTGTTTATCTGCGGGTACCCCTCTGTACTAGCCGAGTCCACTTTGCCATTAAGGGCGGTATGTGAGAAAAACCCGCCAACCCTCATTCAACTAATTGCAACTGTATCATATCATTTATGTATTCTTTTTTTTTTTCCTACCAAATGGCAGATGGATGGACACAAAGCAATGAACTTGGACAAGCTGGGCGAAATTTTCAGCAGCACCGCTGGATTGATGCAGAATGCCCTGCAAAATTTGGCTCAGAGGTGAGAAAGAGGTAGCGGAGGGAGTAACGCTTCTGTGTGTAAAGCATCCGATATTCTTCTGCTGTGTCACGTAAAACTGTTGTTAGCCCCATCCCTGAATTGCTCCTTTCATTGGTTATTTCGCTTCATGTGCTTTTTTCCATTTTCATGCGTGCGTGGAGAGTTACTCATGGGAAAAAAGAGGGAAGACATTATTTTTTCCCCTTCACCCCCCAATTTGTCGTGCAACACATTTCTCGATTACAAACGCGTCACCACCAAATTGACATACTTTTCTTTTTCAAAAAAAAAAAAAAAGAATGGCATCTTAACGCATCAACTCGTGTCTCTTTTTTTTTTTCTTCTTTCCCGTACAGAAATTCCACCATATATAATTTACTATATATGAGTGACAATATGCAAAACAAGGGTGACTATGAGGAGCTCCTGCCGAATGAAATGAAGTTTAACAAGCAGCAAATTATAGTAAGGCGTAGGTGAGAGTAGCGCCGATTGGAGAAAGTGCATATCAGTGATAAACTGGGCCAGTGGGAAATATGTACCACTTTGTCCTAACATAAATGAATAAATTTTTTTTTTTTTTTTTTTTTTTCCCTTTTGCAGAAATGGGTGCTGGGGGCCATTCTCCTCTACATGCTTGTCACCATTCTGTCGTATATTTTCGTGAACTACATTTTGTTCTACGCAGTGATCTTCATCGTCGCGGCGGTTGCGATCAAATTTTACTTTTACTACCAGCAAAATGACGAGACTCCGTTGCTGCAGCAGACGAATTACCACCACTTTGAAGCACACAGCATTTAGCCCATTAGCTCATTAGAGGATGCTGCGTTGTGCTTGCCGGGGACGAATGCCTTTTTTTAAAAGGAGTCATACATGTGGGGTCTACATCGCAGCGTAGAGAAAAGCGTGGCGCAGTTCATACGTAATCACAACGCGCAACGATTTGGAAATGCTCCTTTCAGGGGCAGAAGATGTTGAATGCGAAGCGGCCAGCATAAAAAGCTGCGAAACGCAACCTAAAAAAATACACTTTTTACATTTTTAATTTTTCGAATTTTTTTAAGTTTTCCTTTATGTGATGTTCTCTTTCACTGTTATTCCCTCCCCCGTGTGCCTTTTTTTTTTGTTTTTTCCCCCTTGTGGTGCAAAAGTGGATGCATAATATCGTAAACTTAGCTACGCCCAAATGGGGCCTTTTTCGATATGCCCTGTAGGTGGTTACCCATTTTATCACTTCCCTTTTTTTTTTTTTTTTCATTGTTTGCGTTTTAAAAATTGTTCCTAATTTAAGAGTAATCATGCCATTTTATTGACAATTTTCTCATTCGATTGTTAAAGCTGTAAGAAGCGTGCGCATTGCTGCTTAGGGTTTCTTCCTGTTGGCTGGACAGTTGCAATGTGGCGCCTTGGTTTTGGGGCCCCGCTTGGAAGAATCACGCACAGATAGGCTCGAGCGTTCATACAAAAATAGGGTAACATTTTTGTGCCGCTTCCCACCAATCGTTGAATCTATACGCGCATTCCTTCAAATTACTTTTTTAATGCCTTTTTGCGAAGGAAAACTGCCCCCGTCAGGTGGCTCCCCTGCGCCATTCCGCAAACGGGACTGACAAACTGGGCTGCCAAACGGGCTCACTACCAACCATTTCAACCCCGATCTGCCGCTTCCCACTTCCCCCTACCAATGGAAGCCACCACGAATAACCAGACAGCGCCTGTGAGGGAAGAGGGTGACATAAGCCCATTGGATGAAACCATCCAGGTTCGATCCATGTGCATGAATTGCGAGCAAGAAGGAATAAACCAGATAGCAAAGTTGCACATCCCGTATTTTAAAAATGTATTGATACATTCATTTGAGTGTGGATTCTGCAACTACAGGAATAATGTTATCCAAGATTTAAACACGATAAAGGAGAAAGGAGTTAAGATAATTTTTAAAATTAGCCAACGTGAGCATATGGATAGGCAACTGATTAAGTCTGAGTATGGTATGTTGAAGATTCCACAAATTGACTTTGAGATACCTAAGGAAACACAAAAGGGGTCCATTAATACCATCGAGGGTTTTCTGCAGACTGCCCTTAGCAACCTCACCGAGTATCTCGGAAATTTGAAGCACATGTATTGTGAGGCCAATGGGCTCCCAGAAGGGGCAGCTATCGAGGGGCCGCAATCACAGTCAGGCCAGTTCCTCAATGGGGAGCATGGCGCAGATGAGGTAGATGGCGCAAAGATCCTTTCCACAAATGCGCACAACGTGGAAGTAGAAATTACCAGTAAGAGTGAACGTGGAGAAGATGTTCATGGAGAAGGAGCTCTTCGAGAAGGTCATCATGGAGAAGGCGCACGTGCAGCAGACCAAACCAGCCGGGGGGACAAATCTGCCGATACTAATCAGCAGGGCCAACAGATTACCGTAGAAAATTACATAAAGCTAATCGAGTCCACAGTTCATAAATTGTCCACCTATATCGTGTCGAAGGAACCGATCTTCACCATTGAAATTGTTGACCCGTCAGGACTGAGCTCCCTGGAGCACTACGATGAAGATCTGCAAAAAGGCATCGTCAAGGTGGAGCATTACAAACGAAGCAAAGAGGAATTAAACGAAATCGGGTTTTATGAAGAAGACTTTGAGGGTAAAAATGAGGTGGTTAATTTGGGGCCAAATGGAGACAAAGAAAAGGAGGACCACGTAGTGGAAAAAGTCAAGAAGGAAAACTTCGATTTTGTTAAGAAGTATCTCCACATGGATAACACTGCGGGTAGCGGTGTGAGTAGTGGTATGAGTAACAGCGTGAACAGCCGCGCCGCCGTGCGGTACGAAAACATAAGCGAAGAGGAGGAGGGGAAGTTAATAGAGTCGTTCACGTCCAATTGCCCCTGCTGCAATTATATGGGATCCAACAACTTTTGCGAAATTAATATACCAGGTTTTAAAAAGTGCCTAATTATGTCCTATGTGTGTGCGAACTGCAACTTTAAGACGAGCGAAATTAAGAGCAGCGGGGAGATCAATCCCAAAGGGAAGAAAATTACACTCACTGTAAGAAGTAAAAGCGACTTAAACCGATTCGTAATCAAGTCAGAAACGGCATCTATTCACATCCCCATTGTGGATCTCACGTCGGATTACGGAATTCTCGGTGGTTCTCTCACTACCGTCGAGGGGCTGATTCTGAAAATAATCGAGTCGCTGGAGGATAAATTTAAGTTCCTACTTGGGGATTCTAGCACCAAGACGCAGGGATACGACCAGGGGGGGGAGCAAACAAACGATAATGCACTTCCGAAGAGCCAAATAAAAAATGAAGAATTTATCACAAGTAAAATAAAAAGCCTAATTGGGAATTTGTACAAGTTGTGCAAAACGGAGGAATTGTGCCCTTTCGATTTTGTGATTGACGATATTGCATCGAACAGCTACATATCAAGCGATGACATTATGCACGATGAAAATTTAAAAGAAGAGGAATATGAAAGAACGTTTGAGCAAAATGACATGCTAGGCCTAACATCAATGAACACGGAAAATTACTGAACAGGGCGAGAAGAAAAAAAAAAGGAAAAAAGGGAAAAAAAGGCCTCATTTTGCCCTTCATATTCGCGTCATTTCTCCATGTACCTATTCCCTTAAAATGAGAAAATTTGAGGATGCAATTCGTGCCAAGGGGGGGAAATGCCGTTCCAATATTTACTAGCCTCTTTCCTTCAGGGGAAAAAATGCGCCCCTCCCTCCCCAGAAATAAACAGCTACCACGGATGCAAATAAAAAAAAAGAAACAAAAAACCAGACATTACAAGTAATCCATTTTGATCATTTTTAAAGCTAGAACAGATGAAAGAGTTTGTAAAAATTGCAAACATTTGTTTTCCCCACATTTGTCAATTTAAGAATTTGCATATTTGTTAATATGGAAAAATGTTTAATTTTGATTTTTCTTTCACTTTTTGTTTCCCCCCCAGGAAAATTTTATTTGTTCGTTATTCATGAATGCGACCTCTATAAAAGTGTGGTAATCCTTCCTTAAGGACAGCCTGTGATTTCACTTTAGGGCGTATAAATTCGTTTAGGCCCCCACCATCAGTTATGTTCGACGTGCATATGACAACGAACATATAATGATGTGCATATAGGCCCACACACACACCTACGTGCTTAATTATTATGACCTTTTTGAACAACGATATTTGCAACAGCGAAACCACGGGGGATAAGTATTTTTTTCTTTTTTTTGTCGCAAAGAAGGCTGCTCCCCAACTTTTGCAATTCTCTAAATTGTAAAATAATATCCGGATTGACACCCATAACGTGTGGGAGAAAAACGCTACCATGTTTTGGTTAAGCATACGCGAGTTGCCTGGTGGATCGCTAGGCCAGTTAGACTTTCACAGTACATGCAGGTAGGCAATGCGCATGCACAGGTATATATATACACACATATATATGTGCGAGACGTAGGGGACCCAAGTGGCGCCTTATTGATCAACGTCAACAGAGGTACAAGTGTACATAAGAAGGTCCTTTTGTAGAAGTTCGATTTCGGTTTAGCGGCATAGAGGTTACTGTTTGCCGGTTTTTTTCTGCATCGTCTTTGTCTATGCTATATATATATTTATATGCATAAGGGCAGTTTCTCCCAGAACGTGAGTTGCACTATTTTATCTTTTAACCCCTTTGCCATTTCTACAAACAGGAAACGTACGCAACTTTCATGTTTTTATACTCTCCACAAAGGTGTCACTCAGAGTTTTGTGTCCAAAATGACTAATCAAGGTTGAAAGGTAAATAGGTTTTATATGCCTCCTTCTCGTTGAATCATCCATTTCGGTACGTGTACATTTGTCGCATAAGCTTTACATGTTCTTGGTTGCGTATCCATACGCGATGGAAAAAAAAAAAAAAAAAAAAACAAACAAGGTAATAATTAAATATAGGCAATATATATATGTGTATATTTTTTTTTTTTAAAGTGTGTGCATGTGTGTATCCAGATATATTCACTACATGCTTGTCATCGCAAAAATGTAAAAAAAAAAAAAAAGGAAAGGTTTTAAGAAATCATTTGATACGCTTAGGAGTATACATACAAACGTACACACATATGTAAGGTATATGTACATATTTATACATTTGCATGTTTCCATTTATTCGCATGTTCTTACTTTTTCTTCAATTTTCCACTTTGCTTTTTCCTCCACAGTTAATTTACTCACTTGAAAATTTTTAAAAAAATTGCAAAAATAATGTTTTTACATGCTAATTCATTTACCCACACGTATACACTTACTCGTCAGTGGCATTCCCCGTCAGTTAGCAGAAATTATTTGACGTAGCAGATTGCTCAAAATTGGTCTTAAAAAAAATTCATATGATATATTAAAATTTATATGAGGACATTTAGAAACAATCTACATGCTTTGATAACATATTATTAAAAACGTAATTTGTCGGAAAATGTAGCAAGTATATCTTTTTTTATTAATTATGATGAGAGCCAATTGTGCATTTGGCGTCGTTGCATTGAAATTTCATCTTCCCTTGTCGTTTATCGTTACTAGTTCGATCTTTTTTCTGTCTTCATCATCTGATTAGTTTGTCCATTTTATCTGTCTTGTTCGGCTAATTAGCATATTCCTTTGTTTGTCTTGTTTGGATAATTGTTTCCCCCTTTTGCCTGACTTGTTTGGGTGACTAGTTTGCATTTTTTGCCTGACATGTTGGGGCGATTAATTTGCATTTTTTGCCTAATCTGTTCGGGCGATTAATTTGTATTTTTTGCCTGACCTGTTCGGGCAATTGGTTAAATTGGCTCAATTTTTTTTTTTTTTTTTTTTTTTTTTTTTTTGGCTTGTCCATCTCGTGGTACGCCTTCTCAAATTAAAGACCGCTGTGCCAAATTTAAAACAATGAAGATGTCAGTAACCCTCCGTCAACATTTTTGGAAGACGAAGCTGTGCCCCCTTCATATGGAAAACCGGTGTAAGGAAGGAAGTAACTGTGACTATGCTCATTCGATTGAAGATTTGCGGTCAATTCCAGATTTGAAAAGAACTAAGTTATGTTACAAACTGCTAAAAGGAGAAGAATGTTTTAATAAAAAATGTAATTATGCCCATAACCAGGAGGAATTAAAATCTGCGCAGAATTTATTTGCGTACAAATCTTCCATGTGTAAGTTTGTTGCAAATAAGACTTGCTTGAACGGATCAACGTGTCGTTTTGCCCACACCATTGATGAATTGAGGGTGCCAAGGATACCAGAAATTCTGCTAGAAAAAACAAATGTGGATAGAGTAGAAGGAGTGGACGAAGAAACCGACCTCGTGCTTTTCGAAAGTGGAGGAAATATTATATGTGAAGCCAGCGGCGATGTGAACTGCACAGGGAAAGACGATGCTGGAGGTGGCGGCAAGGAAAATTTGGTAAACGAAATGGAAAATAACTTCACTAACAGCTTGGCAAACAGTTTGTCAAAGAACTTGGTAAGAAGCTTCAACAAAAATGGCAGCAGAAATGGCAATCGAAATGGTAACAGAAATGCCAACAGAAATGGCAACAGGAATGGCAACAGGAATGATAACAGGAATGATAACAAAAATGGCAACAGGAGTAGCCACCAGAATGGCCTCCACGATGGCAACAAAAACTTCACCCAAAGCTTCGACTTGATGCTGACCAACTTCAACTCGATGCAAATAGCGCAGAAGGAACACAGTCACAACAACACATACGGCTGCTTGGGCCAGAACAGAAAGAACGGAGTAAATCATCCCAGAGATGAAAGGAAAAGACGCGATAGAAACAGAAACAGGAATAAAGAAAAACAGTTAAAGTTAAAAGTGAAGAATTCAAATTATGTAAAGAATTACGAACAGGGCAGTGCCAACAATAATAAAGAAGTGATGAATAGCTTTGCTCCGTCTTGCAATAAAAAAAAGTATGTCGAGGAGAGGGACAGATTTTACGACAGCAACACAACGATCTCGTCAAGTTTGAACTGCACAGAGGAGGGAAAGAATGACCAAGTGAATACTGAGGGCTATGTCAGTAACACGTTTGAGAAGGTTGACATGAATGAGTGCTATGTGAAAACGGAAGAGAGCATCGGGGGGGGCTCGGGCGGGGAAGCAGAGATGGGCGTAAAGGGCGGTGAGAGCGGAAGCGCCACCAGAAACGCGATCAGATGCGCAGTCGACAGTGCAGTGGAGGGTACAGCGGAAGGTGCAGACGGAAGAGCAGAGGGCGACGCAGAGCACGGTGGGGAGCCCGGCACGGAAAACCTTGTTGAAACGCGCGATAACAAAAGCAAAGTTAAAAGGAGAAATGATCCCAAGAGTCACCCTGTGCAGAAAAATGCTCCCAATAGTTACCCTGCGCAGAAAAGTGCTCCCAAGAGTCCCCCTGTACAGAAAAATCACCCCAAATGCGACATCGCCAGTGGAAGCGCAGAACACCAGACCAACAACCAACACATAAGGAATGGTCAAACGAATGAACCAAATTATATCAACTACAACTACGACTATAACAATTATGTGAACCCAGTAGTCTACAATAAAATGATGCAAATGAAGTACAATACATATAGCCCCTATTTTAATTATAACCAGCCAAATAATAATGCATGCAAATATGATGCTGGCGCCATGTCTAGTCCTTACCCACCTTTTGCCAAGCCGAACGAATTTTTTATGTACGATCATCAAAGTAATGTGCTCCATATGACACCAAATTATTATGGCAATTGCTTATATTTTTACGCAAATCCGTATAGTTATGGGCAGTGTCCCATGGTGAATAAAATGGAGGGTGGCGATAACGGGGCTCGAGAAAATTTCAGCTGTATAGCGGATCAGACCAAGGGCGCCGTTAAGAGTACAGGAGAACTACTGGCATTTAACGAGGGTGATGATAGCGATGTAAATGCGAAAATCCAGGGGGAGAAGGACGACCCAGAGGAGATAACACCACCGGAGGAGCTAACCTCATCGGAGGAGCTAACCCCGTCGGAGCAGCTAACCTCATCGGAGGAATTATCCCCATCGCCGGAGCTATCCCCAACGGAGGACGTGCCAGACGCGGAGGAGTCCCTAAATGACAGGCAGAAGGCCGAACACGAGGTGAGCAGCGACGGCGGGGAAGAAGTTTCATATGAAGCAGATCGGCTAAACGGACAACAGGAAGGGACTACTGATGGGGAAAATAAACAGGCAGACGAAATCAAGCTCGGGAAAATAACAAAACAGAAGGGACACACACATCAGTGCAGCGTTACAGAATTGAAAGCAAAAAGTGAGCGCGAACAGGCACATATGAACATGCGCGTACGAAATGATTATAGTAAAAAAAGCAACAACTCCTTGGTGGGAACAAACGAATGGAACAAATATCCAAGTGGGAACTTCACAGAAGAACAAATGAAGAAGGCAAAGGGGAACAGCAAGCAAAAGAAAAAAAAATTATCCAAGTTGCTTTCGCTAAACAATGCAAACAAGATCTGCAGGAGGGACGTATGCGTAAGTAATGAGAACACCGTTGGGGGAAACACAAAGAGAAGCAACAAACAGATCGACAGCGCGATGTATGGTAGCAGTGGAAACCTTGGCAATGCCCCCAATGTTATGAAATATCCTAAAAATGCACAGCTTCAATATAATGGTCAGGTGAATTCTTCATCCGTGTACAGCTACATATTACACGCAAACAATGCAGAAAGCGCAAACTGCGAGAAGAGGTTTATGAAGCCGCCTCCAAATGACATGGACCTGTATATGAACAATCACTACCACATGAACCAGCTGGCCAACGAGCAGATGATGTTCAATTTAAACGGTCGGAACTATGGTTACTATTACTGCCCGTACGCGCCCCCCGCGGCGGCCTACACTGATGAGGTTTACTTGAATTAGGGAATCCCGCAACGGTTGTAGAAGCGGTTGTAGCAGCCATATTGTCGCGTCTATTGCTTCGTCTATTGCTGCGTCTCATGATGTGCCTCCTGCTGTGCCTCTTTCCGGATAGCCCCCTGCTCGTTCGCCAGCCAGTTTGTCATATGGATGTACGTCGTGCACATCGGATGGGGGTAGCCACTTGTATAACCGCGAAAACCATGGCGCGCTAAAACGCGTTCGCATATATACACATATATACACACATATATATAAGTAAATATATACATACGCATGTGTGTACAGATACATATGCGAGCGCGACGCAGTGGGACAGCTCACCGCCGCGATTCGAAAAATGGTTCAGCCAAATGTTTGCCTTTTTTGTAGACCCCTCTGCAGTTACATTGTTGGCAATGTATTCCCAGAGGAGGGTAATTTTTTTTTTTTTTTTTTTTTTTTTTCCAAACTAATTTAAAGTGGGGAAAATTCAAATGCCATTTAAGTGTATTCAAATGTGTGGTAATATGAATTACGCGGAAAATGCGTTCCACAGTTTGGCATATTTTTTATTTTTTTTCTTCTCTCTCTCTTCGGATTACCACTGTGTTATCTTCGTCATTGTAATCCGGCGCCGAGACTTGCTCCTTATCCAAAGTGTGGACTTTTTTAAAGGAAAAGAAAAAAAATCTTCGATACATTTGGACAAATTTATTTAGGGTAATTGTTTTAAAAAAAAAAATTAAAAACAGTGAAGTTGTCCACATTATGAATGAATTAAAAAATAAGACTGACACATTATTGCAACAAAAGGAAATTTTAAAACAAACATAATTATATCATGAACATGCATATATCTGTATACCTATACACCTCTGTGTACGTATATATAAAAGCATACATACGCAGCGCAGAAAGGTTTGTGCATTCCTTAGCTGTTAAAATGGTCATTTGCATATGAGCACGTGCGGATCTTGCATACACATGCAAACGTTACACATGTAGACACGTATATACAATATATCACATTCCGTGGACACATATACATAAATTTGTTCACATATTCCTTCGTCACTTTTTTTCGCATGATTAGCATTTTAATTTTAAATGGTTATAAGTGGGTGAGAAAAAAAGGGGAAAAAAAGGCAGCTATATGAAATGTATGATGTAAAAATGGGAAAAAAAAAAAAAAAAAGCAGAAGTTCATATATGAACTCATAAAAATGAGAAATGAAAAATCCTGATCGCGGATATATATATATTTTTTGTATATATTCATTCTGCTTAAAACTGCAGGCCCTTTTCCTAATACATCGATATGAAAGCATTATATGTTGTGCTGAACTGGGCAAAGGTGTATTCCGTTTCGCGTGAGCATCGGACCATGCTTACACGCAATGTACATTGCGCGGACGTTCCTTGTGCGTTGGTAGTCGACGTAAAGTACAATCGTCAGCTATGCCACATACATCTACTTAACCCCTAAACTGCGCTAATTCACGGATTTAACTTGACAATGTGTGTGGATTCGTTAAAAGGGGAAAAAAGAACTTGTCTCACTTAATTTGAGTTTCTATCTTTCAGCTGATGGTCACCCGCCAAACGGGGAACGGCCTCTGACATGTACAACTTTTACTGCCTCACCATTTGCAGCTTCATTCGTTTTCCCCAGCTTTTTTTTTCCTGCGCCTTTTAACTGGCAGCCCCGTACAACGTGGGTTCTACCCCCCTAAATCGCAACGTTCAGTACAAATCCTTCTTGGACACAATGCTCTTAATTTTGTTGTGTATTTTTTTGTTGGATTTTTCGAAGTAAAACATAGCGGCCACATTTTTGGGGATCTTGTCCTGCAGTAGGTCACACAATTTTTTATCCACAAGAGCATAATGCTTCTCGATCCATTTAAAATAAATATATCCAGCGCCCTGGAAGGTGTCACTATATAACCAAAAAAAAAAGGCCAATTTGATTTCTGAGTAAAATGGTATATAATTCATTAGGTGAATTAACAAAAGGGCTTCCAGGTACGAGTACAGAGAGTACATAATCCAGTAGGTGAGGAAATGGATGTACTGGACGAACTCGTCATTTGGCTTATCCTTCTTATTTAGTAACAAGTTGTACGTTTTGACTGCAGGGCAGATTACCGACACGATTAAATTTATCAAGTGCATCATCTTCTTGGGAAATAAGTGTAACCCCATTTTGCTCAAGGTGGGTGTTTGAAGGGAAAAAAAAAAAAAAAAAAAAGAAGTAGGGGAGAAAGTGAGATGGACGTGGAAGTGACACACGTAGACAGGGCTCGCTTCTTTTTGCTTGTGATCTATGCGTTAACTAGCTTCTCTGTACGGCCCTACCAAGTGTAGCTATCTTAAAACGCGATGGTGTTATATCTGCAGATGAGGGGGAGTCAAGGGAAAGAGAAAAAAATAAAAATAAAAAAAGTTATAATAACTCAGGGTAACCGCCTCCTTATCATCGGGATGCGGAAACATACAATTATATAAGCACGGGGAGGGGTGAAGAAAACGGGGACTATACACGGATCAATTTCATTTTATGATGAAGCAGCAGGAGGGAGAAAGCTCACAGGTGATATGGTACCCTACGCAGTCAAACAGGCTATTGTAACGTTTAACTTTGTATGCACAAAATTGGGGGATATATTTCTGTTACACAGAAGTGGTGAAATGGCGAAATGGCGTAGTGGGAAAATGACACATGAGAGCAGATGGGCTAGGGGAAGGTGTTTAATCAGAGTTACCCTCCAATGTACAAGGTAAGAAAAGAATATTCGCGCAAGGTCAAAAAAAAAGAATGTACGTATACACAAGCCAAACGTTCAATGTGTTGAAAACTCGTGCTGACAAAAAAGCAATGCGATGGACCAAGCGTATGACCTCGTGGATGTCACGTAGGGCGGTATATATCCACTGGTACGCGAAATGCATACAGAAAAAGTACACTGGGATGGATGCGTACGTTCGTATAATTACACCTAGAAGGGGGGTTATTACACAGGCGTAGCGTGGCACATAATGAGATACACAAATGAAATACACAAATGAAATACACAAATGACATACACAAATGAGATACACAAATGAAATGTACAAATGAGATGCACAAATGAGATGCACAAATGAGATACACAAAAGAGATGCACATAACGCTTGGTACACAACCTAGGCGCAAATCAATACGTGACCATTGAGATCGCTGTGGGCGCCTGGCCTCTGACTGCGCCAACTAAGACCATCGTCATGATCCTTTACCCATTTCACTCAAAAAGTTCTGCCCGTTCGTCGCCTACCATGCGTTGGGCACACGGCGCGAATGGGCAAAGAAGCACGCGGGGGGAGTAGTCAACAAACGGGTTTGGAAAAAACGGCATGTGGGGGGGCACATATACGTTCGGGCAGTATTTCTCATTCGCCCCAAATTCGCATATCGCGCCTCACAATTGGCGTGTTACGCTCACAACTGGTGATCCCGCATCCGCGATGTCACACGCTCTGTATGGGCTTCCACGCGCATAAAGTACTATGATGCGCTTTTAAGCTTACCTTGAAAAACCTAACTCTGTAAATACATAGAAACAAAAGTAGGGGGATCGTTTTACTTTTTGGAGGGCTTTTCTGAGGATACAAACAATCAAGGAAAAGATATTTCCAAACATGATACAAAAAAAGGGCAAGCTTAAAGTTGAGGTAATATTCAACTTATAAAAAAATGTACTCGCGAAAGAGTTCATAAGAATGGTATATGTTCTGGTTGGTCAGAAAAATGTAGCAAATGTGAAAAATTCCCGCGGGGAGCCTTGCGTGGCAAGTTAATATGCTTAAACCTTCACATATTTTTTTAATATGGCAGTTTAACTCGTTATTCACGTTATATTTTTAACTGCGATATTCTCAAACGTAGTGATACGTACTGAAACATTCGTCACAAATAATAAATGTGCTTTTTTTTTTTCGGTGGGGGAATGTAAGTAAAAATAAAATGTATTTTTACTTCTTCACTTTTCTAATAGAAAAAAAAAAAAATTGACAAATTGGTATTTTTTCATTTTTAACTTTGTCACCAGATTTTTTTTTCGTAAAGAAATGGAAGGATATTAAATTGAAAGTAGGAATTCATTTATTCTTATTTTTACATTTTTTGGGTTGTATTATTTTTTCGTTGCTTATCCATTTCGGCTTTTTTTTTGCCTCCTGCTTTACCTTTTTGGTTCAATTAAAGGCAAAAGACTTTGGCTCCGTAAAAGTGAAACATGTATACGTACATATATGCTGTATACACGGAGTGATTAAATAAAATTATGCTTTCCTCCCCTTTTTAGTACGAACGCTTAATAGGAGGCATGTATATCCCGTTGCTCCTATATGATCAGTCATTAATTTGTTTGTTCATGAGTTGAGGACGCCGAGTTAAATTTTACCTTTCCGTCCACCTTAACATTTTGCAGATCCACGCCCAGGCTGTACAATTACCATAAATTGTACGTCTGTATATATTTTTGAGAATGTGCTTATGATTAGCATGCGCATTATCGTCAAGTAGGCATAGCAGAGGTGAGCATATTTTTCTTTTTTTGTTTCCCCCAGGATGGATTAAAATTCAGCGTATGTATGTGTATATGCTTCCATGCCACAGATGTAAATCCCCACTTTGTACCCACTTCCCTGCTCCGTCTGATCATGAGGATAATCGCCTTAGCGGTTAAGGGGATATGCCCTTCATGGTGATTCTCCCCTTTACGCAAAAATGTTAAGAAGGGGAGCTTCACTTATGCATCCACCCACACTCCGATCTTTAACGCATGTGGAAGGACTCATAAGGAAAAAAAAAAAAATGAAAACTTCTAGACAGTATATGTATATACTAGGACAAAGAACACTGAGGTGCCTATTTTACACACGGATAAGGCAGAGGCAGGAAGTTTTTCCCCGTTCGTATCTTTCCCCTATTTTGTCATTTCGCGTAGTAGGCGAAATAGATAAACCATAGTGAAGCGCGCAAATTGGGGAAGTTTCACTATTTGAGATCTTCCCTTACGATTGTCGTTTCTGTGCACTTCAAAAAAAAAAAGTTGAAAGCTCAAAGCAGGATGACAAAATAAAATTAGAAAAAGGAATTACCTCTTCACCCATTTCGTTGGATTTTTGTCACTCCCTTTTTTGCATTTCCATGGATAGCTCTGAGCAATCGGTTTTATGGATGAAGCAGTTATTTCGGTATGCAACGGAGGCTTCCTTATCCCCCGCCTATTCCGAATAGGTAGGCACGAATATGTCATAGTGACTAGCAAGGTAACTACTTCATGTCAATTCTGACCTCGGTAGTTGTGTCCGTATGGTATAGTGCTCAGCATGCATTACCCTTTCCTCCTCTCCCCAAAGGTACCTTCACCTTATATGCGTTATGCCAGTGGGGCAGTTCTTTGTTTCCCTTAAACTGTGTTGCCAATCCACTGTAGAAAAGGCCATTCCACAGAACTGATCACATAACGGATGGTGGGTGAATTCCATGCAATTTGATAAAACCATCGGTTAGGTCATCTGTGCAGTTGAGTGGCACTTAGTCGTAGCACGATTGTGAATCGTTCGGTTGTCTTAGGGAAAAAACCCTTCATGTGGAGAAAAAGTGAGCACTAGAAGCAACACTCTTTTTCTTACTACATGAACCCCGTTGAATTGTACACCCCAAAAGTGGTCACTTTAGGAAGGCTGTAAAGAAGGAACAATTTTTAGTGTTCCAGTAAAGGCATGGGCATCATCACATGAACGATGTGTGCCGGGAATATGTGGTCAGCATCGAACCGGTGTAATCTCTCCCGTTTCGTGAGCGTGAGCACGCGGGGAGGGAGTCCCCTTTATCAAAGTTAAAAAAGGTATTATGCTTCTTCATCATTTTCCTATTCTTTCATGGCATTTTAAATAGACAAAAAAATCGCATCCTTTTTTACACCGCTTTTTTTTTTTTTATTATTTTTACGATACTTTGATAGCCGATGGGTGTACAGTGAATGAATAAAAAAAATGTCCTTTTCTATTTAAATTGCATTTTCAAAAAATAATACGCCTACGTGATGCCGGATTTTAAAAGTTTTCCAGTTTTCTCCGTCTTTTGCAACACATGATGTGCTGGCATTTTTTTATGGCGTCCAAAGCAGTTATGTACACAGGGTAAGGATTCAGGAACAAGGGGAAAATTATTCCAAATGTTACTTATCATACACCTTTTTTTTACTTTCCAAGCAATGATTAACCACTACGCGCGTTAAATAAATGCGTGATGCGAAATTTCCCGGAGAGGCATATGTGCCAAAGAAGAGTCATATTAATTCACTTCATGGGAGGAATGAATAAAAAAAAGTGAAGTGCGTGTTTGCAAACATGCAAAATTGTGATTTTTTTTTTTATTCTTTTTTGTTCTTTAAGAGAAGGCCTTAAATTTCCACTTCGTCACGTAACGTCACGTTCCGTCTCGTCACTTCCCTTTCGTAGGTAACTCGTCCTCACATGTGTAGCATTGCACTGTTGCTTCAAAATTTTCACCGCTTTCACGTCATATTAAACAACGGTTTAGGCAGAAAAAATGAGTGCCTCCAGGGAAAAGAAATATCTAGTAAGCAGATGACATGCGCAAAGTCTATGCCCTTTAAAGCGAGCTATACGATTCTTTCAATTTTTCAAATAAAATCACTCCTCCAAAAGGGGGTAACATAACAGTAGAAGCATAAACGGGATGCCATGCGAAACTCTTAAAAATGTACATACACAAAAAAATTCCCTTATTTTTTACCCCTTTTATATATATGTACAACATGATCGCGCATACATTTTCAGCATATTTTTTTTCATCCATATATATACCCATTTTGGTACAGCGTTATGGAAGCCTTTCCTCACAAAATACAAACTCCTAAAAAGAACATATTTTCACCTGCTCGATTTTACCGCATAATGAGGGGAAAAAATTCACTCTTACAGATGAGTTATAGAAAAAATGTTTCAATTTTCCAGGGCTAAGAAAGGCATATAAAACGTTTTTGTTTCTTTGCCGCCCTACCTTCGTGTTCGAATTAACCCGTTAAGCGCACCCCCTTACCCCTAGATCACCCCACTGCGGGCGAAAAAATAAAAAGAAAAAATATAAGCGTAGCGCCAAGTTCCAACTATGCAGCCCCCGCATTTGTCGT